ATTTTATTTTCCTTATATATTAACGATTGTGAGATGCATTTTTTAACAGAAAATTGTCCTTCAATTGAACTTCAAACTATTAATCTATTTTTATTAATGTATGCAGATGATATGATATTATTAGCTGAATCGGCAGAAGGACTGCAAAAAATGTTGGATTCATTGTTACAATATACTTTAATAAATGGAATTTAACTGTAAATGTTGACAAAACTAAAGTGATGGTTTTCAGAAATGGTGGTAAGTTGAAGGACAGATAAATGATTTTATAATGGTAGTTTGTTAGAAACTGTTGATAGTTTTAATTATCTTGGAATAATGATGAAAAATGGTAAATTCAATTTGACGCAACAGAAAATAGCTGAGCAAGGAAGGAAGGCGTTATTTGGTATAAAAAACATTAGTAAGAAAAATTATTTCAATATTGAAACTCAACTTAGCGTTTTTGACACTTTCGTATGTAGCATACTGAACTATGGATCTGAAGTTTGGGGTTTCCATAAGGCGTCAGATATAAAAAAGTTACATGTAAATTTTTGTAAGAGAATCTTAGGGGTTAAGAAAAGTACACCAAACGTAATGATATATCAAGAATTGGGCATGTTACCTTTAAGTATAATTCGAAAATTTAGATTGTTTAAATATTGGATTAAACTAAGAAATTCAGAAAATTGTATTCTTAAGTCTTGTTATAAAGAAATGCTTGATAGGGGAAGTGAATGGACAAATAGTGTAAAGGACGAGTTATTTAAAATGGGATTAGGATATTTGTGGGACAGTAATTATTTTAGTAATGAAGCTTTTATTCTGAATGTAATTAAATGTAGGATGTGTGATGTTTTTCAGCAAGAATGTATGGGTTTGATTGAGTTGTCTTCAAAGTGTTCATTGTATAAATTTATCAGTGGTAAATTTTGTCTTAAACAGTATTTAACAAAATCTATTGGTTCACAAAATATCAAAGAAATTGCAAAAATTAGATTATCATCGCACAAATTGTATATTGAAACCGGTAGATACAATAACGTTGAAAGAATTGATAGAGTTTGCAACTTTTGTACGAGTGGCGATATTGAAGATGAGTATCACTTTATTTTAAAATGCGAACATTATAGAGATATAAGGAAACGTTTTATTAAAAAGTATTACTATATGAAACCAAGTATGGCAAAATTTATACAACTTTTGGAAACAAAAAGTACTAAAGATCTGTCGAATTTAGGAAAATTTATAAGTATTAGTAACAAAAGGAGAATAAATACTGTTTAAGACATTAATTTAATTTATATGTGTAGAGATAGATATATGGACTTATTCTCTACACTTTGATCCTGTGTACGTGGTCTGTGTGTGCTGTGCGCTATGTATTTCCTATGTTTGTTGTTGTGTTTGTACTTGCACTGTAAATATATGCACTGTACTGATAAACCGTAAGGTTTAAAGTAAATAAACTGAACTGAACTGAACTGAGCCATGAAAATTTATTTTGATAAGATATTTTTGTCAGGGCAAGGTGCTTACACATGGTCCAAACTCCAGTTGCATGACCTTGTTCGATTTTTCATCGATAGGGCTCCGCTGTTACGCAAGGATGCCGTGAATTTTTAGTTACTCGCGCTGAGACAGACGAATGAGTAATATTTCTTTTTAAAATTTCCATGTAAAACCGAAACAAAAGCTGCATGTAAAATATTTTACTAAAACTGTATGTGCAATATTTTACTATCCAGCAGCATGACTTTGAAATTAATTACAAGACAGTTCTGACTTCATTTTGCAAGGTGGTGCATGATAAACATCCAGATAACGTTCTCTCGACCGAAATAAAATAAAAAAAGTACTATTTTGTCGCACTTGTTACTATACTGGTAGCGTCTGTACACAGATTACACGTATTGCAATGAAATATCATGAAAATAGACATTATTGTTGTGATTTACAGAAGGTTTTGACTTACTCCACTGTCAAAGTAAATATAACAAATTTGGATTTTGTAATAACAGCTAACTGATAGAAACTCAGTCTTTAGAGGAGACAATACAGAGACCGATACACCTAGGTCTTATCATTGATTCTACCAACGGTTAGGACAAGGGACTGAATATGTGCTAATTTGTACAAAGATTTCTGTGTAGTCTGTCGCAGACAGATTTATCCTCTGACTGTATGACATTAGAAAAGGGGTAAAATGGAAAAATTTTCCCTTTTTTTTCTCCAGAACATATCATACTCTCATCGTGACGTGACGGCCATAAACGGTGACAAGTTCCTGCAAATATTCAGGAGCTGTTCCATTTATTGCCTTGTATGTATACAATCAAAATCTTGTACTGTAACTGCCTACGAAGACAGTTTGGTGTTACACAGAAATATAAGGCACCCCTTAATTACTTAATGTAATGCATTATTAAACGACAATGGTGGCAGCAGGTGTGGTATTAGATATCATATATTTGTCGATATTATCTAGATAATGACTTTTGACAGTTGCTTGTCTCCTCGATATCAGTTAATCTGTTTTAGATTTTCAAAAACGGGGTTTATATTTGTAATAAAATAACAAGCAGATTCTTATATGAGGTTCCATTTGTTAAACTTATGAAACCTTTTGAGTATTTTTTTCATTTTAGCGAGCTTCTGGCAAACTATAAAAAATACATATCTAATTACTTAGATATGAAACTAAAAACGACTAAGACCATTTTATCAAATGATCATGTGTCCATTATTTTGGGAAATACATATTTTTCTGTCTCTATCACAATAATATAGTCGACAGATTTGTGAAGTCATTCTCTAATCCTGACGTAACAATCATATGAGTTGAGATAACACGACAATCACGTCCTTCCGTTCACGACCTCCCTGCCTTCCGATACACAGGAATTTAAATTTGTCAGAGAACAAAGGAGATCAACAGTAAACAAGTTGTTTACAGTAAACTTGTTGTTTACAGTAAACTTGTGAAATAACTTTCTGTCTCTAAGTTTGATTTGTAGATCACAGATGAGTTGAAATGCTGTGAAGTGGGCCGAGGTGGTGCTTGAAAAAAAGAACAATTATTGAATATGGAGAGCTAAAGCTCCTCTATAACTCGGAAATGATTTTGAATAAATTATATCGAAGAATTAGCTTTCGTGTACCGTGTTGGTAAAAATGTGTCCATGCTATATTTGTTCATACCATTTAATACGTTCAATTGAGATGTATAACGAAGTTCGTTTATGGTCTTAGTTAGTTGTTGGATCAAAAGAAGATGGCAACTTTTGTCAAAGGTATTAATGTAGTTCAAGTAAACCATTAGCATCAAAGATTTTGCAATACAGTCCGTGTCTCTATGGCTGCGAAAAAAGGGATATAAAAATTTCTGGTGGCAGGCTGGCTGTTGACACAAAATCAGGCCATGCGAATTACATGTAGTAACATTTCTAGTCTTGTGTTTAAGACGTAAGGAATCTGGGATTTGACGCGACACGGACAGTGCATTATAGACGTCACTGCACAAGCGAAGTATTTTTTATTGGTCTAGAGCGGGTTTCAGAAGAAAAAAAAGGACCAATCACAGACAGAGTGACAATCAACTTCAAAGGCAGTACAACATACCATTATGTGACTTCGAGATCAGTTTGATGTACACCAACGAGAGTTTTCTCGTCAAGGTGTCGCACACTGCACCTACAGTTTTGCTGTAAGTTCCAGCAGGGATGTATAATATATATAAGTCCCTGGTTCCAGCTACCCTTTGAGTATCGAGAATGTGGACAGATTGAAATAGATAAAAAAAATAATGACAACATCGTTTGTTGCTTTTGCATTTAGCTTCCATCCAGAATGCCGTCCTGTGTCTTTATTATGTGCCCAGGCAATTAATTAATAAAAATTTTCAAATACACCGTTTTGCATCTGTATTTTGTTGTCAAAATAATGCACGTGTAGTCGGCTTTGTATCTCATTATATATGATGTATGTGTCACACTGCTAAATGTTTATGAAGAAGACCATTATTTGTTCAGTTAATAATTTCTGTGGCACTGTGACCTGCTGCACTTACGAATGCTTCAGGCAAAATGTTGACTAAATCACAAGAAGAAAACTTTCAAGAATTTGCTAAATATCCCATATTCAGGCCGAAGTAGGGTCAGATCCAATTCATTTCCACCAAGGATGCTTCTCACCAAATTTGGGCCAAAATCCACTCTGTCTTTCATGATCAATGGTGATTTTTAGGCAAAGTTGATGGATGACAGATGCTGCAGTATCCCATAAGCTCATCTGGCCATTTGGGCCCAAAGAGCTAAAGAAATACATCTATCAAAGTCACTTTGTGTACTTTACAAATCACATGTTTGTCAGGTGATCAATTTTTATCTGTTGTTGCTATTAAAGCAGACCTCTTAATAAGGAATGGGAATATATTTGAACATCATCTCTTCTGAATCACACAATGTAGTTTGTGAATACCATTGTCGACCACGAAGAGCAATGAAGGATTCTTCATGTGAATTTATGACCCAACTACCTAATTACCTTTAAATGTTCTGTATAGTTGGTTATATTTTGTAGGGAATTTAATTTAGCGGATATGAAAGCTTTATACCTTGAAATTAAATACCAAGCAATGCATCTGATACAAATTGATAAGAAAATATGGCATTAAATATCTGTGAACTAGTCCAAACTGAACCACTGTGAAATATATGTCCTACCAAATATACAGGAAGATCAACAGATGCAATGTAACAAAACTTGTGTATTCAATTAATTTAACATTAAGGCTACTTTGTCAAAGAATGTCGAACAGTATCATTAATATAAAAAAAATTACGGTTTGTAATGTGAGGAAACCTTTTTTTGTATGATCATGATTCTAATATATTTCGGCTAAAATATATTTTGTACATCCACAGAATAGTTTAATTCCCTTCATTGGTTTCAGGTGTTCCCAAACAGGATGTGAACCTTTCACAAACAAAATACACAGAAACAAAAATATAGTCAAGTATTTATTATGATATAAAACATACATATTTAATGAAGGAATGTTTCGTTGTGTCAAGTACATATTGAGAGAATGTACATATAGCATGTTTTATGATTTCTTGAAAGTAAAATAAATTGACCCGGTGGCCATATGTCAATACATCCTGTTTCGCCTCTGTCAGCAGTTTTTTATGCCTCTACATTACCATATTTCCACAAATCACCATGACATGTATTTTAATATCTTTCCTTCTTTGATCAAATGTATTGCATAAAGAAGTTGACCTGTCACTCTATAGGTAAATCATACAACCACTATTTAAACCTATGTATTTCCTAGTTTTACAAATCGTGTTTATCTATAATTTGATGTATCATAAACATTACACTTCCCAAGTTAAGTCTTGGTGACTAAAGTTCAAGTTCAAGGTAATATATTTTCTTCCTTAAAACTACATGTATTCATGAAGTTATAAACAACTAGTTGGAAAAAATGACTTTCTCATTTTAATTGATCTAACATAAATTATTCTGAGCCTGAAACTGAAATCAAAATAAACTTCCTCATGTATATTTGTTTTGAGCATGGGTCTACTGTCTTTCAATCAAGAAATTTAAATGTTTTTTAATTCAATAATTTCTTGGTGAATCCACATATATCATTACAAAATTAACCAACTTTGTGGTTATTCAAATTTTGTTATTAACATTCCTGTAATCAAATTGCTTCACAGACTCACAACATGATTAGTACTAGATGTGAGGTATAGATAAGAAATAAAGCTAGGTAGTAACAGTTTTTAATTATGTGTCATCTTAAATCTTTCTAATAACAAAAACTTGTGATAGTTACATTTAATTAAGGAAAACAAATCTCAGCTTCTGACCTACAAACAGATTTTATTCTCAATCATTTGAAGAATGAAAACATGGGTTTTGTTGGAGGGCAGTAGTGATTTAATAAAATCATAAGATATCACAGTATTGATATATATAAATGTAAGTTTGGACACCACCTTGATTATTATAGTTATGAAAATTGGAAAGTTTTATGAAATATTTGAGACTTTTAAAATCTCTGAAATTCTGAAATTTGTAAATTGAATGAAAGTTACCAAGCAATTAATATTGGAATTAAAATATCTGTATCTTATTGAAACTGATCACAGTAACAGACTATATATACGGGTAAGCACCATTTCAGAAAACAAAACCATAGTCTGTTGTGATGATTATTAAGGCACATCAAACCTTTAGACCGAGACTATTTCTTAAATGTTATCAAATATAAAATATGTACAAGACTGGAATGGTATTAATTTTACAGACCAGGAAACGATATATAGATTATTCAGAAATAAAATTGACACTAAAAAAGCAAGAGAATAGAATGGAAGAGAATGAAACATACTACACTACGGCTGGATTATAGCCCAAACTTTCTACAGTATCACAGCAGTAGAGTATAAAACACATCTTCCACAATTAACATACATTTAATCCTGATGATAAAAATCCATTCATAAACATCCAGCACAATCATCTTTTACACTGTTTTACACAACCTTTACTGTCAACACAGGGTAAAAGTAGACATTTTCTGTGTTCAAAACACTTCACAATAAACGGTCTGTATCATGGCACTATGCCCCATACAATAGGAGAAGGAGGCGGGGTTTGTTAAAAAAATTACAAGCTGATTAATACAAATGCTTACAGCCACATTTGATGACCAGTTCCAAGACTAGATACAACATTCAAAGTCATTACGAGATCCATGCAGTTTGTATTTTACTCACTTGAATACTGAGCATATAGACATTTGTAGAAATGTGAGACAATATAATTCATTTGGACAGAAATGATGGACCTTCATATCAGCAAGCTTCAGGCCAAACACAATCATTTTATCACTTAATCATTATAGGGTGACTGAAGATTTTAACAGTCCATCTGATCCCTAAAAGCACAAATAGTATTAGTTCACATGATAATGAATGGATAAATGGGTGATGACATCACATACTTATCATACTGTAGACTTGGTAAAGTTCGCACCAATTAAAGCTAGTTTTTTTCACTAAATCAGGAAAAATTTTTGGCCATTAATTATTGTGGATTGAATGCTTCCCTTGAACAACAGAAGAAATTAATATTAGTGAAAATTATGTTTCCACTTAGTGGTTGTGTAATTGATCTTATTATAATGAAGTATGTTCACACATAAAATGATCAACTTTTACAGAACTGACAGATAAGGTCGTCGTAAACTGACATATAATTAACGTTCGGCTATCAATTGACGAAAAATAAATTGTTCTTTGAAATACAAAAATAGAATATAGCTCTAATCAATCTTTGTGATCAATGTACCTAGCCTAGCAATAGCCTGTTACTAATAAGGCAGCTTTGGACTGTCTACATATCTGTAGACCTTTGATCACTGACCATTGTAGGACCTTTGATCACTGACCATTGCAGGACCTTTGACCACCGTATATCATGGACTGAGGTATCTGCTGAACATGGTGGGCTTATGATATGTAACATATGTGTAGTAATAAAATCTGACACCTACATCACTGACTCGCCACCTCCTTGATGTTCTATAGAAATGTCACCCATGTTTGCATAATCCGGCATGTTATCATAATTTGGATTACTCATACCCTTCACAGGTGTGGCACTTTTCTCCTTGCTACCATTTTGTATGGATGGCTTCGCTTTTGTAAAACGGGCTTTTAGTTTTGAAAATGTCACATGACCTTCGGCTGACGCTGATGCTGAAGAACTTGCCGCAGCCTGAGATCCAGGCTCCATTGTTTCATTGTCTACAAGGACTTTTTTTATTTCTCCACGAGGTTGGACTTGTCTATAAAAAAAGAATCCTAAGCCTGCCACAAACAGAAGGAGTAACACGATCACAGGTATGGTCACCGCTAAAGCCAAGTTCTCGTCAGATGACAGCACATTCACAAGTGGTTTACTAGTCAAAGAACCTGCAACACAAAAAAACAAGTAGGCAACAAAACTCATTTTGGAAAATAAACTTTTTGGTCAATGAGCATGAGAATAAATGAATGTACAGTCTGATCATAAATGATATATGATTTATGGTAAAAATGAATTTTCATGATGTTTAAACAAAAAATATGATATATTTGACCCAGCTCTCTTATGAGTCTAGTTCCATCTTGCATCACCATTGAGTTTTGCAAGGGTTTAGGCGGTTTTTACTGACTTCAATTACCCCTGATAACAAAATTAAATTAATTGTAGTTTTTATTTTACCAAACAGCAGCAACAAATCCTGTGACAGAACAGGTCACTGGATGGCAATATACTATTGAACGTTACTCTGCTACAGAGATCTATCAACACCATCTACAACAATCTTCTACTTGCTGACTACCATTAACAACCAAACAAGACTTACCGTTACAGATAACACTGGCATCCTCTGCATGGTTACAGTTCTCAACATTAAATCCATTGTGTTTACAATCTGTAATTTTAGATTCGTTTCCAAAACATCCAAGGTTGTCCATCCAAATGGGTCCATCTCCACGACCAAAGTTTGCCATTTTCTTGGCATATCCTTGTGCAAATCCAAGTTGACGACATATGACAGTAGCATCTTTGTCATCAAAGTAATCATCACACACAGTACCCCACTGTTCTGGTCCAGTGAGGTACACTTCTACACGTCCATAGTTGTCCCCTCCATCAGCCAATCGTATTGCTGTCACATCTGTGTGTAAATCATTCAAATTTTATCAATAATTAATCATGTTTATCAATATCAATGCAATTACATTTGTACTACCAATTATGCAAAAGAAATTACGAAGTAAGACACAGTGCAGAAATTCATCAAATCTTGTCATGAGAACCAGTATCACTCAAAAACAAGTAACTACAGTACAGTTTTGTCTACTTAAACGTCTCAGTTCCAATAAATTTGTATTTCAACATCTTGTTTAATCTGTCCTGTCCTACAAAGCATCAGATTACTGTAAACATGCTAAATTTAGCAATGAAATTTTAGTTCAGTATCAGTTTTTGGTAAATTATCGGTACCTGTAATGCAACGATGAAATTGTGTGTATACAATGAGCTAATATGAAAAAAATAAGGAAACTACAATTGATGCAATACTTTCAGCATGAAACAGTATCACACAAAATATGATAAGCATTAAAATTGTATTGTTTCTTCACAAATTTAATACTTATCAGACACTCACCTACATCTTTGTTGTAACACTGAGCAGCAGCGTCATGGGATCTACGCCTACATAGCCGTTCATATGTGCTTTCAGTCTTCCCTGACACATTGAATCCAGAATGATTACAGGTGAAGAGACTGTTTTCTTTACCAGTACAGGAAACACGTGTGAACCAGACGGGTCCTTCACTACGGCCATATCGGCCACCAGCTACTTCTATGCCACTTCGGAATGACATACTACGACAGAGTACGTTGGCATCATGCGTGTCCCACAGGAAGTTACACACACCACCCCATTCTCCCTCGTACTGGATCTCCACTCGTCCTTGACTCCTGTCCTTGCCACCATTTAGTCGGTACTTGATGCCTGTCCATCATTTAAAAACAATATGATTATATGTATGCTTATATTATATTATTAGTAGTAGCAACAAGCCGCTTACCTGAGACTTTTGAAATTAATTACTGATTTTCATTACATGTACACAATCAAATCAAAAGACAAAGACAAATTAGAACAAAATAGATAATTGTACAATGTATATGAGTTATCTCCCTTTTTTAAATCAACAGAAGATACTGTAAGATCATATCATGTCAGATGACCTAAAAAATAAATATTTTCTTGACACCTGATTTCGTGAATAAATAAAGCTTTATAAATTTCTCAGTTGATTAAGAGTAACCACAGAATCAACAGAAATAATTCTCCTCTGAAAATGATTTAACAGAAGTCACTAATAGAACAAATCAGAAGGTAATAGCTAATAGATTGAAACAATCTACTCTGATACTCTTGTGATGGATATCATCAAGAACTCTTCCTTTTACTCAGAGATGTATTGTACAGCAAAAACATTCACCTTTCACTAGTAAAATCCCTAAACTCTTAAGTATTGATATAGGAAATACATGTAAATTCAATATAAAATAATGTAGATATGACAAATAAAACAAATATTGGTTTAAATCACGCCTGTATTAGAGATACTCCTGTAGGTTGATAGTTGGCAGATCTATTGTAGGATAACATTATACCTGTAAATGTTTCTGTTCATGTTTATTGTTTGATATTGTACAAGTAGAACTTGAGAAGATGCCACAAGCAGCAACACTGTAGGCTTTAACTGCCAACAGAAGGTAAATCTAACTTATCATCAGATGCCTGTCCTTTATTGTTTGTTTTCATGTTTTTATACAAGTTCTACTGATCAAAGCTGAACACAGAGTTTATTACATATCATATAGAATATTGAAACTGTAAGGGAAAAAAAGGACAATTCTGAATCGAAAGTAAAAATAGTAACATGTAATTCTGCTGTTTTCACCTAGATATTATTACACTTTGTGGATTTTTTTTCACAGCTGTTTCAGTCTTTGTTACATTTAATTTGCATCTTTAATGTCAGTCTTATAATTGCAACTGCAGAAAAAGACATGCTATGGAATCCAACATTTTAGTGATTAATAGGCCTGAATTCTACACAATAAAACAAGCTCTAACTTACCTTCCTCTGATTTAAAACAAAGCACCCCAGCTTTATTACTGTCGTAGTTGCAGCTGTTCTTCTGTCCAACCTTCACAAATTTGCACTGATCCAGGCTTTCCTCATCCCCTTTACACTGCAGCTCACTCATCAGTATTGGATATTTTGTTTTACTTGCCTTGGCCAAGTATGGCTTACCACCTTTGAAGTTTAATTTTTGACAGATCATGTTTGCCTCCATCTCATCAAATTCTTTCAAACAAACACTGCCCCAAATTCCATTTAATTTAACAAGAATTTCTCCATGTTGCTTACTGAACTCATGATCAGAAGATATCATCACTTCAAAATCTGAAAAATATATTAAAAAAAAGCATTGAAGTCTGGTTTAGATAATTTCAAACAACATGTTTTTCACCATACTATAATACTGATATGATGCTTCTGATGAAATATTTTTTTATATCAAAAGTTTCAAGAACGAATGTGTACTTTTAATATTTCATTATATAAATGTATAGAGAAAATATAGATGCATCACATTTTGCCAATTTAAATGATCCATATACTCTGTCAAATATCAAGTGATAGAATGAAACACAATATTACCTGTGTTAACAATAGACTGGTTGCTACAGTATACAGATGCATAAGTTTTCTTCTGACATCGCTCGGTTGGTATAAAACTACAGTCAAAGAAACTGCCTTCACGACCCTCACAGTTAACGTTTGAGATGCCGATAGGATCAGATACATTTCCAAAGGAAGATCCTGGTACAGAAACCCCATCTCTGTAGCCTAGAGTTCTACATACAACCTGAGCATCGTCATTGTCGAACGTGTCATCACAGATGTGGAGCCATTTCTTGTTGCTGTATATCTGAACTGCCCCCATGGACGCGTTCACTCCTAAATTTAGACGAACTGAAAGGAACAAAATAACACAATGTTGATTTAGCATAAATCCCAGGGACTAGAACCAACACCGTGGTTCTTGGTGTTGGGTGGTCCTGCTGATATCCCTCACTCACATACCACTCGGTATGAAGGACAATTGAGGAATAGGAACTAACATCACAAGTATCAACCGCAACAAGCTCAGAATAAGTTGGTTATAGGTTAATTAATCTCGTCTACCAGTTTCGCCCAAACTATGTGGGCTTCATCAGCTTTTGATTTAAAACAAATTATTCATCTTAAGAAAATAAATTGAGGTAAAGCTGAAATATGAAAACATTCTGTATACATCATTGTTACAAAATAGTGCTTCACTTCCAGATTTTAATTTAAAGAGTTTCAGATTAAGAATGTGGTTAGGACTTTAGTTTCACAAAAAATTCAAATTGTAAATTCATTCAAGAGTCAGTGTCTAACCAGTTGATATTTCAAAAGTCTTTGTACTGTTCAACATGAAAAATGATTTGACTTGCAAAGCGTGACAATATTTATATCTAATAACTTACTCTTATCTACACAAAATACTGATGCATCATCTTTGTGTGAACTGCAAGTTTTCCAATCAGAGGTGGACGTCACAATATCTTCACTGAAGCCCTGATGTGGACAGGTATGTAAATTGTCCTCACTGCCATCACAACGTAAGTGGCTAATCCAGATAGGTCCCTTGCCCATCCCGTAATGAGCATTACCAACAGCATAACCATCCGAGAAGTTCATGGCACGACAGAATACTGCTGCTTCACGATCATCCCATGATGCATCACACACTGTCCCCCATAAGCCATTGAAGGCCATCTCTACCCGACCTTGTCCTGGTTTTGGTCCAACGATTCTGTATTTTATGCCTTTTAAGAAATTTAAAACGATTTACTTTGACAACACTTTATATATACCAGGAATCTTTATTAAACATATATTAAGGACACCAAAATTTCTCAGCAGGAACCCTTTATTCTTTATTATTTTTGGAAAAAATGTTCTCATTTGATAATTTAACTCACTAACTAGAATGAAGGAAACACAAAATTTGACTTCAAATTTTAACACAATACCTTTACCTTTGGTCACCAGTTTGATTCCTTAAAACTTTGCTTTACAATGTCATGAAATATGAAATTTAAAGAAACAAAATTTGACTTTGATCCTTTACTTGAAGACCTCAATCCTTGACCCAACAGGTCAATTAATTTCTTGTTTGATTCTGACCAACTTGGCTTCATATTATCTGACCAAAATGGTTAACACTATCATATAAACAAAGAGCATGAAAACTCCTAGCTCAAACTTTTGTCAATCAACGTTATAGAAGTGAGCTAACTCTAACATTCTTTGTGAATTTGTACTATCTGAACTTTTCCTTTCTCTAATATATGGCCAGAAAAATTCAATCATAGTCACAATTGTTTCAATGATTTTGTGTTTGATTAAAGCTGCTTGTTTGAAATAAAATCCTGGACACTTACCACTGTCATTGTAACAGACAACAGCAGCCATGTGTTCCTTTGTCCCATTTGACATGGAAAGACGACTTTCATATGGACATTCTAACAGGGATTTTTCATTGCCAGTACAGTTAAAACTACTCAGGAAAAATGGTGATACAGTTTCAAACCGACTTTTGGCATACGGATGAGCAAAACCATATCTGAAGCCAGCAGAACGACAAAAAACTCGTGCCTCCATATCGTCCCAGAGTGAGGCCATAATGCGACCTTCTCTTCCAAACTGGTGGACAGCAATTTGTCCTCGGTGAACTGCTCCATTTTCTGTCTTGGCAAGATTGATTTTCATATCTGGGACAAAAGAATAATAGCATTTATTTTACTGACATGCTGCAAAAACCAACATGTAAATTTAATGATCAATCATTAATTCAAATAGAATATCTTTCATTTTACATGCCTGTACTTACATTTCTGCAAGTGCATCTAAAATAAACAAAAATGCTCTCACTCCAGCATTGATGGAAATGGAGCTAAACAAAGTCTAAAGCTAACTAAAAATGTAGGTCACAATGACTCTCATGTCTAAAAGTAGGTGCAATTATAAGATATATTGACTTGGGGTCAGCAACATCAGAGGCATCAAATTTATGGCAAAACTTTATATTATCAGAATTATAAATTTCTCCCATATGTTAAAATTGTAAATTCCAAGTTCTATATTTGTACCTCCTCTACGGATTGATGAGTTGTTGAAGTCGGTCTGATTAAGACATATGACTGAGGCATACATGTCATAGGGACCACATGAAGATGGTTTCAAACAGTCCTCAATGGAGTTCTCCTTGCCGTTACAAGACAATGAATAATTGACGAGGATTTTCTGATATCCAGTGACATAGGCAGAGCAGCAAACAGCTCGTCCATCTACAAACCCAAGCTCTTGGCAAACTTTGCGTGCAGAGATATCAGTAAAACCCTTGTCACAGATGAACTTCCATGTGTTGTTGTGATAATACAGAACAGGTCCATCCTTGACATCAGTGCCGACACCAGAATCCAATTTAACTGCAACCAAATATGGTAAATGTATCAATTAAAACAATTACTGTATCTGTAAGATAATAAATACCCCAACTTCTATTTCTGTAAATATCAATGTTTGACAAATTTTATAAATGTTGCTAATCTCATTTGAGATGCATTTATTTCATTGCAGTTGACCTTTGTACAAAGTTAGATTATAGAAATCCCTAAAGAAAAGAAATTCTATCCCATTAAAACCGCAAGAAGAATAACAAAACATAACACCTTCTTTAGCTCTGTCAAAGTAAACATCTATTTGGTATATCATGCACAGTTCCTGCACCGCAGTTGATCATCACAAATCAGTTTTTTCAAAGACATTTTTGTTTTGTGTATAGGACACTCTAATGGTCAATACAGATTTAGTTATTTCCATATCAAATATGTACTGACAGCTATGCGCATAAAAAAGTAAATAAAATACAGATGATTTACGATTGACAGACTGCAGTGTATCTTATTTTAAGTTTGGTTGCCTAGTTCTGTATGAATTCTTACTTTCAACTTGTAGAAACGCAGGGATTAAACTTCTAGAGAAAATTAAAACAAACCTCGTTAACACAGATTTGGACCAAAACCAAGAAATTTTTACTTGAGACAAGGTGATGACTGAATGCTCAACACAAAAAAGGAAATTTTGGTAGAATTTAGAAGGGTTGGTCTATAAAATATATATTTGACACAAACACAGTATTCAACTCAACAGTGTTCAAAGTTACTATGATAAAGAAGAAAAAAATTGGAACCAAACAAAACATTCAGCACATTACTATATGATATAACATATGATAATCATCTATCAGCACCAAGATGCCAGTGTTTCTCTCTCGTCTTATGAGAAATCATAATTGTACAATCTGTCATTGCTGTAACATTTACCAGTATTATAACAGTGTACCACTGCATCTTTATCATGTGACATGCAGCTTCCCGATTCTGCTACTTTCCAACCCTCATGAGCACACTCGAGGGGAGATTTCTCGTTCCCATTACAGTGCATGTCCGGTTCATACACCCTGCCTTCTTTTATACGGTACTTATCAGTGTTGTATGGAAATCCAGCAGCAAATCCAAAATAGCGACAGAATGCTGTGGCATCTGCTTTGTCCCAGTAGCGGTCACACATTGTTCCCCACACTCCATCAACAGAAATCTCCACACGGCCTGCCGACCTTGAACCATTGATACGGAAATTCACACCTGTAACAAAATGAAACAACTTAATAAGTATTGCAATAAAGATCACCTAAGAAAACAAGAATGTTGTCAGATCATGGAAAACATCTATTCCACTAATATTTAGCTTGACTAGTGATAAAATGGAATCCAAATTTAACAAATGCTGAATACAAGATTTAAATCTAATGACCTTCAAGAACATTAAATGGAAATCAATTTGCAATGGTTGAATCATCAATTATAAAAAATGCTTTACATACATCCAACAAGTGCTCATTGCCTAATTAACCAATTAGAACTGACCCTATCTTGTACAGAAATATTTCTTACATAGAAATTCCCACTTTTGCAATAGATCTTTTTTACCTCTGTTGGAGTAGCAGAGAATTCCGGCTTCCTTTCTAGAGTTACATTGTTTGACCTGTCCCAGTGAGAAATTAGCACAGTCTTTGAGAAAGTACTCAGATCCATTACAGCTGACGGAGGAAGCCCAGATAGGATTGCCTTTTCCAAACAGCACCTTGTGTTGGTATGCTATACCTGTATCAACAAACAGGAACACAAGCTGTAAATGCAGGTCAATATTATCTACACATAGAAATTGAAAGCTATCTAACAGCTGTTTATTTCCGTAAAGCGAAACCAGATGTCAAGTGATACTCTACTGAAATGAAAAAAAAAATCTCTTTGTCTAGTTTCATAAATCTCAAATGAACTGAAGTACAACTTTTTTTCCATCTGACAATAAGCCAATGCCTAGTAATAAACCCACTGTTTAAAGTATATCTAGCAAATTCTATGCATTGTCCTGTAATAAGCCCATCATCCTGAAATTTGAGTCAAGGGTAAGTGTTCGTCCCTTGGGTTTATAGCAAAACAAATGCAGTAAGATGCTTTAAGTCCTCCTGTGTAATAATTATTAAATCACCTTTACTATATCCCAGCTCTCTACATACTACAGTGGCATCATTGTTGTCCCAGTCATCAGCACATATACGACCACTGATGTTGAGGAATTTCAGCTCCACAGAGCCTGAATTAGTAGAACTGTCTTTGGTTGAACCTTGAATGCCAAGACTGTAGTCTATGGAAAAAAAGAACAAAAAATTAAGAATTTAGTATTTTGCTGAAAATTAATTCAAATTTTAATCAAAATTAGAGGGGTGGGGGGGGACTTTACACAACACTTTTTACATTGTTCATGCAAGTAAAATATGTTTACTAATACAGGTACATATATAGAAAACATGCCATGTGCTTGATATCAAAAGAATATTCAATCATTATTCCTACACTTTATGTATACTAATAGTTTTGAAAATAAAAGTTTAGGTAGCAATCTCATCTGCTTTGTAAACTTACTAGAGGATAAGGAGCCATTATAACAGGCAACAGCAGCATAGTCCACAGAACAGGAACCATATGGATTGTCGGATCTACAATCCTGGAGTTTGGTTTCATTTCCAAAACACTGGATTCGCTCAGCCAGACTCTGTGAGTAAAGATATCCATAGGCTCCACAACAGATGGACAGTCCATTCTCAAATCCTAGTTGTTGGCAGGTCACACCTAAGAATTTTCATATTATATTCAATATCATAAACTAATTACACAACATCACATACTAATCATACAAATACCAACTGTTGGCTTGAGACACTGAAAAAAAGTTGTATACCGATTGTGTAACATCCCATATGGGTCATAACAATTCTAACCCTTGGCCTTCAAACTCATCAACAATTTTCAAAATAAATGACAGGAATTATACTAAAACATCAAACTTTGGCAAATTTAAAGATTCCACTGCCTTCTCTGACAAGCAATAAGCAACCATGTGGACTTACGGAGGTTTGCTGGCCTGTCCCAGTCATGATTACATACAACACCCCATTTATCAATCTTGTCCATGTACACTTGTACGATACCATGACTCAACATGTCTCCTTTCTCTAACCGCACTGAAATAAAGAAAAATAAATATTTAATCTTCAATAATGTATATATCTCTCATGTCTAGGGCAAGTGGGAAAAATAACAGTAATGAATATATCTGGCAAACTTGTCACAAAGAATGAAGTACACCTGGCGTGGAAAGTAAGATGCGAAATCTTGACTTTTCGATTACTTTAGTTTTTTCTTAGTCACCTGTTAGGCTTAAAAATTTAGGCCCTTAGCATCACTGACGAGTCCTAGAAGGAAGAACAGCTGTATGATGCAGTTTAATTCATTGTTTGGCTGTATCAAACTTAATTTGTATTAAAACGTGCTATTCAGTTGTGTGTTTTTTGTACAATCTGGAGAAAGATGAAGTGATTACAAAGGCGATATATATTTCTACCATAAAAGGTGGGCGTTATTCAACTCCCAAGGACTTGTTTATCATCATTATATTATTATTATTGTTGTTGTAAATGTATTGTTGTATTATTTAGGGGATATGGTTGTTTTTATGTATATGCTGGAGATAAGATCATGATATTGGTTTTAACACAAGATGAATGAGAGTTAAAAGGACAAAATTCATTACCTAATCTCCAGTATGTGCATAAAGAAAATCTGAGCCTATAGTGATGTAATTATCGCAATATCAAGGAAATTCAACTTAAACATAGAACTGCACAATTTCAATTTCTGGTTGAGCACAGTAAAAGGATACTCTCACTACAGTCTGGATGAAGAAGAAACCACTTACCTGAATCTGTACATAGGACAGTGGCATCATAACAGGAAGCGTAGTTCGGGTCCCAGTTTACTTTACACTCTAGCAGAGACTTCTCATCTCCGTTACAGCTCACATAATCCATCCAGACATGTCCCTCTCCTTTCTCTGTCTTGCTTTTTCCTACCTTTCCATCGACAAATTTCATTTGCTTACAGAAGACAGAAGCATCCCTGTCACTCCAGCCCCTCCCACAGACTCGTCCCCATTCCCCGTTGTATTTCACCATTACTGAGCCACGATTCTTCTTACCCTTGATACGGAAGGACACACCCTCTGCAAGATGAGAAATTCTTAACATTTGGATAGTGACTCTGATTCTGAAAAATAATACATTTCCAGGTGCTTGAATTTCATGATTTTCAAATAAACCGAAAAAACCACACACAACAAAACAAGAGGCCTAGGGGCTTAAACTGTTACCTAAGTGAACTCACAAATGAAAGTGATCACAACGAATGTGTATTACAGAGACAGAAGAATTCAACCTGAAGACTCTTCCATCCTTGAAAAGTATTTGATTCTACCATAGAAGAGATTTTTAATGGAGTAATCCATGGTCAATATCTTCATATGACATCAAACTGTCAGCCTATACTTACAATTCTAAGCAAGTAAGATCTATTTCCATAATTTCTCAAAAATGCAATTTTCCCAAATAAACTATAGTAAACTCTACACTCTCCGCAGGGGAAATATGAAACCTTTTGAGTCATGAAATTTACGATTACCAAAACGCACCTTAAGACTCTTCCATCCATGAAGAGCATTTGAATCTACTGTACCATGTGTGGGTATTGAGAAGAAAATTGTTTAAATTTCAGTCAATTTGACTCTTTTTGACCCTGTCCCTCAGGTGCCTGGGAGGTGGGGACTTCATCAATTTACAGTTTTGGTTAATCTTTGGTCAAGACTGATTTCTGCCAAATTTCATTGAAATCAGTTCAGGACTTTTCAAGAAGTCAAAAATGTAAAAAGATTAAAGATGCTCAACAGACGATAGATGACGGATGCAAGACGATGGATACTGGACGACAGACTAAGGGGTATTGCAATAGGTCATCACAAGACTTTGTTTCAGGTGTCCTTAAAACCCATTTCACCAGCACCTGACTTTCGGGATTAATTGAAGTCACAAAATCTTCAAATGACTTAAATTCACCTAAATTTTTAGCTTTTCATTAACTGGACATATGAACTGGAAGAGTAAAAAGAAAATTGATGACAACGAAAACCTCAAGAAAATGACTGGCTTTGCAGTAATTGTAAATAATGCCACCATCCTCCCTAAATATAGATGATTACTCCCTTATCACTACATAGATCCATGAATAGCAAGGAAACAAAGTAATTCATGTGCATTTGTAAGTTTTTGAAGGAGGTTTTACTCCCTGTAACCTTTCTGATACTGTGTTAATGTTTCCATTATAGGGCAGGAAGTTGCCAATTATAGGATAAAGAAAGAGTTTCCTAAATTTAGAATAAAATGGAAATAGCCTTTTGTGTCCTTTTTCATATTCACGAGATAAAACACATATTTTCTCTCATCAAAGTTCTGTATCATCTTTCATTATTACCACTGATACTTAATGCTTTTGTTGGATGTGGTACTATGTGGATATATGGCATAAAACAATAGACACTTAACAAAACTGTTACTTATACAGAATCCACCAACAACAAAAATCCTAGCTATCACCAAAAATGTCACACCTATAAATTCCTATAATATTTATACATACCTTTGTTGCTGTAACACAAGACTCCAGCAGTCTCCCTGTAGAAAACAATTTTAGATGAACATCCTAAATCATCACCAAGGAGTTTGTATTGGCAGTGATCGAGTCTTTCCTCTTTGCCGGTACAGTTAAAACGCCCTACAGCCACAGGTGTTTTCAGGATGGTAGTGCCACGGTAAGAAACGCCTCCAGTAAACCCAAGCTGGTTACAAGTTACATTAGCATCTTTATCATCCCAGTCCTTGCGACAAATTGGCCCCCAGAAGCCATACAGGTTAGCTTCTAGAGAACCGTAGTATTTGCTTGAACTTATTCTAATCTGCATAGCTGAAATTTCAGAAAATATAAAGTTTGATCATGGAGTTTTATTTATCGATAACTGACCTGTTTGGCCATGAAAAAGGCCCATGTCATAAATACCAAAGGCAGGCAAATAATAAAACTACTGTGATCCTATAAATTAATGATATGTCATTGAGATGTTTCAGCAGTGAAAAAAGTTTCATTTGGGTCGAAATTTCAACATCTTAGAGAGAATAAATTGAGATTTTTGGGAAACTTATTAATAATGATGATAACTAAATTCAACATTCAGAATGGATCAATTCAAATACATTATGCAATTTATTCTTTCAGTTACGTTATTTTTCCTCTTTGTCTTCCTGGGTATATTGCCCAATGAACAGCCAGGATCACGCAGAGGCAGTGTCACCTAGTATTAGCTGGTTGCTATCTAACTGAACAACATGCAGAAGGTCAAATAAAATTCCATCCAAAATAAATGGATAAAGATGTCTTATCGAAAGTCACAACCAAGACTGTGAGTGAAAGACCAATCATTACCTCTGACTCCTCAGAAAAAACAAACTGTCGTAAGTAGGGATCAGAACACACACCATGTAACTTTACCTGAGGTTTAAACAGAAACAATAATATTTATCTAAGAAATCCTTACCTGTTGATGGGATTATGGCCTTTGCTGAGCAGTATACAGACACATAGTTCTTGGATGGGCATTCGCTTATTTCATAGTCACAGTTGTCAAGCTTGGACTCATGACCCTTACATTGGACGTTACTGATCGTTATGTTTGAAGCTGCGATAGAACCAAGTGCAGAACAACACTGCTTGCGACCAAATTTATATCCCAACTGTCGACACACAATGGTGGCCGATACATCCGTAAAACCATCATCACACACACTGCGGAAAGATTTATTGGCATAGAGTTCTAGTCGTCCATAGAATACATCATGGGAATCCACAAGTCGTACTGGAATATCAATCAACATATTAAGTCAGAAAAACAAGAATCACAATAAGTTTTATATCATGCCATCTAATTAAATCCTCGGAATATATATATGACATCTCTTATTAATCTTTTCTAGTCACAGATGCTAATACATGTTATGATGTATGTATACAATACATGAAACTAGATATATTGTATATGCTCACTGATCCTCTAGACAACTGCATGTATATGTGCCTTGTACATTCATCAACAATGAGATATACCCTATATTCCCTCAGGAAAAGAAATAGTATATGTAATTTCTTGAAATACAAGCTTTCTATTTCAAAACTGGTCAACTATGACCTTTGACCCTTCAAACTTGAGTAATGATCACCAAAATCTCATAAAACATAGACGTTATTGTTATAATACTACAGAGTGAATATTACCAGGCAGACAAAGATACACACATGCATACATATAAAGATGAATTCACAGTTTGACACACTCCGTGATTACTTTGCACCCCCTAAAATGGAAGTGTTATAATGGAGAACACCCCATCTGAAGCATCAACACGAAGTCAGATACATGTATATGGATAATTTCCTGTGTGAAATAGAAAACAAGTTCTACACTAAGCAGAAAATATCCCAACCTATAGCCTTAAATTTACTATCCTGATACATGTTGTGGTGTCTTTAATTTATTCTAATTTGTAGGGATAAACTACATCATACATTACCTGTATCATAACACTGGACGCCTGCATCTGTGTGATGTGATGTACAGCCAAATTGTCTGATCACCAGTGATCTACTGACCAATGATCTGCGATAGAAAGGATCAGAATTTTCTCCTCGAGTGTAACGGCTATTGAAGTTCATTGGGCAATGGAATATAGAGTCCTCATCCCCCTTACACCTCATATGTCCTATCCAGATAGGCCCTTTGCCACTGCCATAGTGACCATAGTTAAGTGCACGACCACTAGAGTGATTCATCATGCGGCAAAGGACAGAGGCATCCTTATCATCCCAGTAGGAGGCTCCACAGACTGAACCCCATTCTCCATTGATGGCAATCTCCACTCTACCAGACAAACTGTTGGAGCCATTCACAAGGCGAATAGGCACATCTGTTTATACAAAAAAGTTTGTATTACAGTTGAAACATATAACAAAAAAAAGTTATTTAATATTTTACAGAGAAATCACAATAAGGATATTCATTTCAGACAATGTATGGGTTACTTCTTGGTAGTTCAAATTTTCCTGGATTTACCAAATGCTTCAAGCCAACAAAAAGTATTTTTTACGGAATTGATAAAAAAGCCTACAGTTTTCTTTATTGATTTAGTATAATTTCTATGTTTGCGATTCTTTTTCAACCTCCTTGACAGTAAGTAGGAAAAGTGACTTGAAAATAACCATTAACATTGCAATTTTTATCTATTGCTAAAACTAATCTGAAATTTATGCTGACACTTTGTATAGTTAGCAATCGTAGTAGAGACTGAATTCTTTTTCAACCTCCTTGACAGTAAGTGGGAAAGGTAACTTGAAAATAACCTTTAAAATAGCTGACACAAAAGATGAAATCTGTTATATCCACACTCTAGATTTCTTTTTATGATGATATCACGTTGCATACAACACAATGAAGTTATGACATCACAAAAAAAATCAAGTGATCCTTCAGCCAATCACAGCTCTGGTAAGTCATATTACACACGAGTCATAACGCAATTTATATAATGATGTCATTACACTGAAAATGGGGTATTTATGTGATAATAATAAATGAAAGTTGACTTACTGGAATCCGATGTACAGTACACTGCTGCTTTGGTATTGAGTGAACAGTTTCGAACATCTCCCCAGCGGAGATTACCACATCGGGCGAGATATCCCTCTGAACTAGAGCAGTTAAGATTGGACAGCCAGGGCAGGCTCTTCCTAGGTCCAGAATTAAACTCATGTCTATAGTAGGAAAATCCATCCCTATAGTTCAATTCACGACACAAAACTTTTGCATCACGGTCATCAAATCCTTCAGGACATATTGTCCCCCAAACGTCTAGATGACGGACTTCGACTGCCCCCATGACTCCTTCAGTAAGACGCAAGTCATACTCTGTTGAAGAATTCAATACATTTAGCAATGAAACACTAAACAGTAGGTTATTATTTTGTGAAGTGAGTTTAAGTGGAAAGACTGTCACCAAAACAAAGATGGAACAATCTCTTAATCAGGTCTATACACAATTTTCAAATTAACACACACTATCTTCCTACCTGCAGTATTTTCTGGATTATAAGCTGCAACTTTTTTCTCATGACTTGGTATGCCTATTGCACCTTGGGATTGATAGGTCATCAGGTGATAGGTCAACTCCATGCTTGTTTATGATATGAATGGCTTTGTGTAAATTACAAGAAATAAAATTGGACTATAAGAATTTTGTCAGCATGCATGGGCCTTCGTTAACAGTACAGACCCAGATGGAGAGATTGTTCAGTAAATGTAGGTAACATCAGGCCCTATATATGTGTGTAGACAATCTTTGTAGGTCCCAAGCCAAACAAATTTGATATTTGCTATTTAATGTATTTTGAAAGATCAGAATAATTCTTAAAATACATCAATAAGATAAAGGGTTATTTATGTATAAATAATTTGCAAACTGTATTAAATGTACGACTAACAACCTTGATAAATTGTCTTCCACTTTCTGTTATATTTACAAAACTTGGTCAACATAATGGTTACATTGCAAGAAAGGGTGCAGCTTATATTCTGGTGTGGCTAATATATAGATCAAATTGAAAAAATTGATAAAAATAGGTGGTGCAACTTATAACCTGGAAAATACAGTAGAATTTTTCAAGAGCTTGTATTTACCTTTATTAGAGCAAGTCTGATATTTTCACAAGAAAATTTTTTTATGATTTTATGAAACTTGTTTATTCAGTTTTTTCTAAGAATAACTTTTTTTATTGATTATTACTGAAGCATTGCTTATCATCAGACCAGAGACCAAATTATACCTCCACTAGATGCTGTGTTGGAGCAGGCAACTGAGGCATATTTCCCACTTGGACACACGTCAAGACGATAGCTGTATTTACACTGAAGAATGGATGCCTCTTGACCATTACACTGGACGTTGTTGATGGCTATTTTGTATTTGCTCATGTTTCCAAATACAGAACAACAGATACTGATACCGTTTTGGTAACCAAGCATTCGACAGGTAACTTGAGCATCAACATCATCAAAGTCGTCGGCACATACCAAGACATACTCGTTATCCTGCCACACTTCCACTGCACCGAAGGTTATGTTTGGCTCCAGTCGTACTGTCAGACATACAGATATAAGAGACTAAACAAACATAGACAGAAAAAATAGCTACTACGATAGATCACATATAGAATTCCTGTAAAATCTGTCATAAATAGCAGATTTGTTCAACTACAGAAAAAACCTTTGTGTGAATTATCAGGCCTTATTTTTCTGCATATCACAAAAAGCAGTTAAAAAATTTCAATACCATCTTAGTTTTGGAATTCATTTAGTAAACTGGAAGTTGCTGACGAGAATACCTTTTCCTGTACAATAGACGCTGGCATCATATCTGTGTGTACGACATGATGTATGTGTGACGTTCCATCCCGTACTTCCACAACCCCAGACAGCTTTCTCATCCCCAGTACAATGAACATAGTACAGCCATGACCTCCCGGTTCCAGGGGGAAATGTTCCTGATGACAGAGCCACACCATCCACAAAACCAAGCTGGCGACACACCACCTTTGCATTGTCGTTGTTCCAGAAAGAGTCACAGATTGTACCCCATTCACCATTGTAGGCCATCTCCACACGACCACTGTACTCGTTGTCAGAGCCTCCCAAACGAATCTGAAAACCTGTATAAGGAGAACAGGAAATTTGTATCAATGTTTATGTGCTGGAAAAACAAGTGATTTCAGTGATTTTTGTTATGACATTTTTTTCTTTAAAAGTTTTAAGTTTAGTGTTTTGTAATAAAATATACAGTGAAACCTCACTATTAAGACCACTTTGGGGACTGGACAAAAGTGGTCTTAATAGTGAAGTGGATCAGATTGACCACAAAGAACCATAACTCTGTTTAAAATAAAGACTACATATATCATTAAGTAATGTACATGTATATTATTCAACAATAATAAACTGTATTTAAAATAATGAATTTTATTAAATGCATGTAAAAAAAGATGAAATTGGTGAATTGACAAAAGAATATATATATATGTATAAATTCCTTCGATAGTTTATATCATAATATACATGTATATTTACTACGGTAAACATTGAAGTTATTATTATTATCATATTACGCTCAACAGGAACTTAACATTAATTTTCATTTTTTCATGAAAACAATCAATTTTAAGTTCAACAGGAATTTAACTTTAATTTTTCAATTTTACTCTTTATTTGTAACAACATTAATGAAGTCACTATAAAGTCTTTCAACGTTTCATTTTTCACATGAATTCACACACACATTAACTCAGTCAGTGTATCACTCAGTACAACACATTTGTCTTTTTACTTAAAATGAAGTCCAGTGCACAATGTTGCAAAGAGCTATGGATCTGGACAGCCTATTCTTCCATAAGTCCTTTTTAGCAATCGCGATAGCTCGTTTCGTTTACATGATTTTGCCATTGATTGATAAAATTCATCTGAGTTTTGTGACAGTGAAAATATGTCGTAAAAAATTTGGAACATGTACATGGTTTTTTATTGTTAAAATGATGTCGAGAGTGTAATATCGCTACAAAAACAGTTAAAAACCGTCAACAATGAGTGCGTGTGAGAGCAAAGGAATATCACCTTTGGGTATGCAGGGATTCTAAGGTGTTGAACAGCATACCTACCGATCTATCAATATGTAATTAACCAACAATAGATCGCTACTAAAACGTGTATGGCATGTAGTTTCACACAAGTTAATCCAACAATGATGTTTACTTTGTGTAATGCCACCTGGTGACATGGTCGGTAACCCGTGATGAAAACAATGGTCGAGAACGACACACATGCTCGTGGCTCACTGCCCATCAGGTAATCACTGGTCAGAACTTTTGTCGTAATTGTGAGGTCACTTATCGTTAATTAGTGGTCGTTGGGACTGTAAGAAGTGGTCGTAATACGGAATAGCGGGGTGGTTGTAATACTGAAGCGACCAATACAAAGATATATAGTGGAAAAAAACGGGACTGAAAAAAAAATGCCCGTAATAGCGGGGTGGTCGAAATTTTGAGGTGGTCGTTAGCTGAGGTTTCACTGTACGCTGAAAGTAACCACTTGAGATGTTTGCAAGAAATACAAAGAGAAGCAAATAAAGTGTCCTTCCCAAGTACATGTTTGAAATATTAATTGACTATGGTCATGATAGTTCAAATTTTCATGATACATGCAGTGTTAATGAAATGAAATATTTTCAAACCCTATTTCTAAATGATGTAAAACCATGAGGAGAAATTTGACCTTAATGTCATGCGATGATTGATTAATTATACATTACTATCATACATGTGATGTTTGACATGATTTTTCGTCGGAGAAAACTTACCAGAACTTCTGTAACAGAAGACTCGAGCTGCCAGACGGTTTGACCGACAAGAGGTCTGAGCAGCAGTCTCGTTGTAAGGACATTGATTAATGTTGGTTTCATTGCCAAGGCAGTTGACATTGGACATCCAAATAGGTGTTCGTGAGCTGTAGTACCTGGACCCAAACATGGCACCGCCCTGGTAACCCATCTGTCTACATACCACCATGGCATCTTTTTCTGTCCAACCATCAGCACAAATAGTGCCATTGATACCATGTTTTTCTACTAATACTGTCGCAGGGAAGTCACCAGCAGGGATAATCCTGACTTCTGTCATAAAGAAATAGAATTACCATACTTATAGTTTGTAGTAGAGCCAGGGGAAAACACATAAACTCTGACTTATTGTGGGGAGACAACTCCAGGATCATGAAACATAATTGAATAAAACATTGCCTATGTTTTGACTTAGCCAATCCTAAATACTGTCACAAAAATTCTATATGATTGGCTAAGTTAAAGCTTAAGTCTTGGAGCTTGGTGGGTTTATTATTGAACAAAGACTACTAAAAGTGGGCGATTTATTCCCAGACATGGTCTTTATAATTGTCAGACATTACAATTTGCATAAAATATTTTCTTACAATACTCTGTAAACCATACACACAAGTATACTTGTTTAATTAAATGTTCCAAAAATTTCCATGTAAAAGGAAATATTGAGAAAAAATATCAATGAAAATAGAAGTAGATATGGAGATGTGGATGCCAAAAGGAAAGTAAAACAAGGGGCATTTTTAAAACATTTAGCGTTAAACATCTGCTCTTGTCAAAATATTTACCATTGTTATCGACTGGGTTTTTGGAACAAAGGACACTGGCATAGTTATAGGACCTCTTCGGACATGTGCCCTCTGAGAAAGGACATTTGGATATGGTCTGTTCGTCACCAGTACAGTTGAGCTGTAGGATGGAGTTCAGATAATACTTAGAGCCAAAAGCCCCAGGCATGAGAGGCTTGCTGTATGGGAAACCAAGCTCTTTACACACAACCTTGGCGTCATTCTTGTCAAACTGGTCAGCACAAACCGTGATCCATTTGCCATCGTTGTACATTTCTACCCGTCCAGTGGTAGCATGATCCTGACTCTCGCCGTTACTGATTCTCACTAAAAGATAAAGAAATAACAATTATCATTTCACACCTAATTATATATGAAGCAACACTTATGTGGCCCTATTTACCTGCCTTTATGCCCATGCCTAGTAATAAGCCCACCCATATCTATTGCTGCTCAGTATTAAAACTATCCACAAATGTTATTTCATTGTCCCATAATAAGCCTATCCCTCAATGTTTGCCTACTGTTGAAGTGTTGTCTCCCTGGGTCCATTGCAGGAAGAAAATATGTTATAACACATTCTGATTTCGACAGCATGAAAATATACAGCTTTGTTTTTATATTTTACAGGTCATGATTTAGCGCTTGTGGTTATTTAAGTATCAGATAGTGACCTTGGAACATAAGAATCACTAGTGTGATCGGGTTAACTCCCAGTAGACTAGTTTGACGACAATAACGTAAATCACACATGTTTGCTGATGAAATGTTTACAAGATGCTAAGAAATGTTCATAAATACTTTCCATCACAGTGAAAGGCAAGACAAAGTCAGTGAGATAGGAATGCATTTCATCACAGTAAAAGGCAAGACAAAGTCAGTGAAATTGGAATACTTTTCATTATAGTAAAATGCTAGACAATGTCAGTGAGATAGGGATGCTTTTCATCACAGTAAAAGGCAAGACAAAGTCAGTGAGATAGGAATGCATTTCATCACAGTAAAAGGCAAGACAAAGTCAGTGAGATTGGAATGCTTTTCATCACAATAAAAAGCTAGACAATGTCAGTGAGATAGGGATGCTTTTCATCACAGTGAAAGGCAAGACAAAGTCAGTGAGATAGGGATGCTTTTCATCACAGTGAAAGGCAAGACAAAGTCAGTGAGATAGGAATGCTTTTCATCACAATAAAAGGCTAGACAATGTCAGTGAGATAGGAATGCTTTTCATTATAGTAAAGGGCTAGACAATGTCAGTGAGATTGGAATGCTTTTCATCATAGTAAAGGGCTAGACAATATCAGTGAGATAGGAATGCTTTTCATCACAGTAAAGGGCTAGACAATGTCAGTGAGATTGGAATGCTTTTCATCACAGTAAATGGCTAGACAATGTCAGTGAGATAGGAATGCTTTTCATTATAGTAAAGGGCTAGACAATGTCAGTGAGATTGGAATGCTTTTCATCACAGTAAATGGCTAGACAATGTCAGTGAGATAGGAATGCTTTTCATTATAGTAAAGGGCTAGACAATGTCAGTGAGATTGGAATGCTTTTCATCACAATAAAAGGCTAGACAATGTCAGTGAGATAGGAATGCTTTTCATTATAGTAAAGGGCTAGACAATAGCACAAGAAAGATATAGACCGATATCTAGTAAAACCTAAAGTACAAATATATCAGAGAAATGAATTCTTGTGACCTGAGAGGCAAAGGACAATGTTTAAAATTTTATGTGATTTTTTTAGAAAATTTTGTTGACCTAAATGTTGAATTTTGATTGGCTAATATTTTGTTTACAAGGTTTCATTACTTACCATTGTTGTAACAGAAAACACCAGCATTGTGGTTGGGATTATTACAACGAGATTCTATTCCTCGTTTCCAGCCAGGATTCTTACACATGAATATACTCTTTTCAGCACCAAAACAGTTCATTGATGTCAGAAACTTTGGCATAGGTGGTCCAGCTAAACCTCTAAGAAAAATTAAACAACTCTTTCATCACTTTTGAAAATTAAAACATAATTTAAGTATTTACAAATTCAAGTCCTGAATCAATATGGTTCAAATTTACACAGTAAAATATCCAGACATATCCAAGAGCATTGCAATGAGGTTTCAAAGAACACTGAAACCAAAGTCACTGATTCTGTAATGACAAAGGTTTCAGCTTACTAGTGTCAAGTAACAATTCTAATGTACAAACAAACCATAGACTGGTTAGTTTCTACGTACAGGCAATCATATTGTCTAGAGCAGTTATTCTAAGTGTATTAACAAATCAAAGTTTTTAGACGAACAGCTTTGGTGTACAAACAAGCTAATATGTTCAAAAAGTAGAAAAAAGTTTCTGCATACACAAACCTACGTATTCAGATTAGCAGTTTCAACATAAATTGAAGTGTTCAGACTTACAGTTCCATTATTCAAACACACTAAGTTACAGTTTCAGTATCCAATCTGATTCTATACAAAAGATATTTTAACGTAGAAAATATATGATGTAAATAACTCTACCTCCTGTATTCACCATCCCTAAATCCTAGTTGCTTGCAGGCCACCGTAGCATCATATCGTGACCAACCTATGTCACAAATGGACCCCCGCTGATCATCCATCACAATCTCCAATCGCCCAAAGTTGTCCAGTCCCCCAACCAAGTGTAACTTAGGAGCTGTGTATAATATTCATAAAGCATAACCAATACAAAAAATATACAGAACACTGTACTGTTATCATTATGTCAATCAAAGAAAAAATTTGCTACAAATGAAGTGATGAGGTGATAACTGTTATCAACAATATTTCAATGTTTTGTATTGATGACATGGTTTTTTAGATCACATTCAATAAAACATAGTTATATAATGCACTGACAGAGTTTAAACTGTGAAATACCATATTCAAACTCTGACTTACCTGTGTTTTTGTAACACAATACACCAGCAGCACCAGAATACTGGGAGTCACATTCATCCCCTCCCATAGAACAGTTAAACAATGATGACTCATTTCCATGACAGTTAACCTGTCCCATGAAGAAAGGTCCGCTTCCTGATGGAGTTTCCTGGAATGCCACGCCCCCTAAAATGTTCAGGAAAGATCAAATGGTAATGGTGTCTGTATTGCTTCTCCAGGATGCACATCATTAAGTTTTTAGGTAAGACATTTTATGTTACACACCAATGAATATCAAAAATCAATATAAGTGATTTTTAATTTCAAGTACTTGTATTTTCCATTAAGTCCTTTCGGTAACTTTTTCATTGCAAAAAAAAATTATCTTGCTGTTAATGGGTATACCTCTGAACTTGAGTGAACGACAAACAACGTCAGCATCTTTATCATCCCACGAGGTAGGACAGATACGTCCCCAGATGCCATACTGTTTTATGCCAACGCGACCTGATTGTGATGGTGCACTCCCAGAACTGTTCTCTAGACGCATCTCACTGGCTGTAACAGAGTACATGGCATTAAAACATCAATAAAATCTTTTAACATCAAGGAAAAGGATTTCAAAGTGAGTATCTGTATAAAAAACAAAAACGTGGTTGTATTTTATCAAGCATTTTCATTAATAATTAATGTCAGAAGTTCACAATTACATAAATTAAATCATTAAAACAAATAAGTTGAGAAAATCTAAATTATTTCTCGTCTGATTCTAAAAATGAAAAACCGATCGTAATATCTGACAATTTCTTCAACATGACAACAAATGCAGTATTTTATTGAAAATAATCCTATTTGAAATTTGTGACTTTCACATACAGATACTTAAGGATCCATTATAACAGGACACAGCAGCATATCCTAGATAGTTGTCTCTTTGACATCCTCGGAACCGGTCATATCCACAATCTTCAATCTGTGTCTCGTTTCCTGTACAGTTCAGGTTTGGCCATGTGTAACGTCCGTAAAATGTACCAAATGAACCTGGTGGAAGGGCTCGTCCATTTGTAAAGCCTAATTGCCTACAGATGACCATTGCATCCTTGGAGTCAAATCCTTCTCCACATAAAACAGACCAGAACTGATCCATGACCTTAACTACTCCGTAAGAATGATCTCCTCGTGACAGCCTCACTGTGGGTAAGATTTTAATAAGATGTAGACTAAGCATTTTTTCTCAATGAATTCCAGAGAAACATGTCAATTTTTTTGCCCCATTTTCAAAGCCTAAAATAAAAACTGTGTTTCAACATGTCAACATTATTCATCAACTTTTGTGTAATTCTTGCCCTATTGGCAAACCAAGCAAAAATGATACTGTTGTGAAAATGTCCACAAATACAGCTTATAACTTAGTGTAGGTAAAGATGTTATGATACACAGGCATTGGGTTATTTACAAAATCCTTAAGTGTGACTTATTACCATTTTTGTAGCAGATGACAGAAGCATCACGAGAATGATCTGCACAGTCACTGTTGTTGTAGACATTCCAGCCATGGTTTCTACACTGCAGTATAGATTTCTCTTGTCCGTAACATCCTAATCCACTCATCATGATTGGGCCAGTGCCTTTCCCATAGTAAGATTCAGATATTGGTTCGCCATCTGCAAAGTTCATAGACTTGCACAACACCCTGGCATCACTAGATGACCAGGACTTATCACACACTGTTCCTGTAACTCCATCATATGTGATCTCTACACGTCCAAAATAGCTTCCACCTCCAGCCAAACTCACCGACACACCTGGGATGACACAAATTGAACATTAAACATAAAATCAAACATTTAATATGATGTCATTGAAATGCTGACATGATACTGAATAAGGTGAACTATTCATGTGTGTTTCTTCTTGTGATCTTAAGTCTTTGTAAGGTAAACATTTTGATGGTTACCCCATATATAACACTGAAGTGGAGTATTTAAACTTAACTGTTGTAGCTGATTTATAGTTCTCTATCAACAATAAAAACAGGGAATATCTATTCTCAACAAACTATGTTGTACAGTGTCCTCCAACTGTTGATGTATTAAGTTAATGCAACAGGGACCCTAATGGATGAAAAATCCCCTCACTCAACCCTTGAATAAGACAGAGAATTCTCCGAGACAGGATAAAACTGTCAGGACAACATGACATCACAGCGACAATGAGTTGATGTCACATCACAAAAACATGTACGAGTATCTAATAAAGCTAGCAGGGTAAGAGAAAAATAATCATTAACCCCCTTGTTGGTGAGATAGGGAGATCTCAACCCTTCAGAAAAGATGTTTAAGTTCCAAATACTCAGCAAGCCTCATGTTTGCTAACTTAATCATCTTTTGTCTCCGATTAAGATCCACCTATCTCACCTCCAAGAGAGTGAAAGTTCTATTAATCTCAAATCTATAAAGGTGTGGATATACTTGTTAGTGATCCTTTAGGTAAAAATGGAGTTATTAAATATTCAGAAACAGACTATATGACATCAAGTCAACAATGCATTGTTGTAACATCAAAACCACATCCATCATGAATTAAGCCTAGTGGGGCAATTACACCAGGTCAGCCTGAAAGTCAGGGGGTGGGCTTCACTGAACAGCAATAGTTTTGTGTGGGACCAACAATAGGCTTATTCCAAGATAAATGCAGGCAACACTAAAAATATAATGCTTCTTTCATATATCCTTACATAAATACTGTGTTAGTAATGAAGATGTCATATTTCTGTCACATACGTGTATGTAACATCCAGAGTTTGCATTGAAGCTGTCTCTATATACTGGATAGAGTTTTGAAATATTGGAATTAAATATGGATCCCATATTTTCAAAAGGACTCCCATTTAAATGGGGAAGGATTTATAAACTACCCTAAGCAAACCCTGTTGTAGAAAAAAAAATCATGACCTTTGACCTGTGACATCAGAAGAGGCTATGATGCACTGTTTAAGAGTCATATGGGATTAATTAGACATGTTCCTTAAATTTTCATTCCTTATTTTGCAAGAAGCCTTTTTATCAAATGAAAACTTTTTCTTTTTTTCTTTTTTAAATAACATGGCAAATTTAAAAACTACCAAAAAGTTGAAAAACTTACACAACAATTATAATTATAAATTTACATGATTAACTATTTGCTGTCACCTCATAGATATACACACATAGATAAATACAAAAATAACTTTACATATTAAACAGCTATAGATAAATCTATAAGAAAAAATTGAATTAACTTAATGGCACTGACATGATGACACATGACTCACTTTTATTAAAACAAAGGGCATATGCTGCACGACATGAATGCACTGGGCGACCCCATGAGTCTGAGTCGCTCACACAAGATTCTAGACTGGATTCCTTCCCACTACAGTTAAGCTTTCTAATCCATATGGGACGCAGAGTCTCATTGACAGTTCCGTAGGCTTTTCCGTCAAGAAATCCTCGCTCACGACACACAACCCTTGCAGCAAGGTCATTCCATTCAGTTCCTGTGGAACACACTTGACCCCAAATACCATGTTTGCGAACATTCACCTCTCCCCAATGCTGAGAACCATTCAACAGATCTACCCGGAACGCTGAAAAAAATTTTGCAGGATTATTAAACAGTTGTTTCATTACTTACTAAAATTACTACGGGTTACTGTTATAATGACATCTTGTACAAACATCAAGTCAAATTAATAACATAGTTTAATAACATATATAGGGTTAATGCATGTTCAACCTGAGAAGAAAGCATGTATAGGCAATGACTTAATTGGTACAACACTGAGATAATGATTTATCAAACATATAAAACAATTCTATTAAACCCCAAGGAACTTAAGGAATTAGAATAGTCTTACTACTCAAAATACCTGGGAAATAAGAACTAATTTGCAAAAAAACACATTTCAGTGGACTTCAAGAATTAGTTTACTTTTGACATATATATGTATTTGTAATTCATAGCACAGTTCTATGTGCCAAAGGGAAAATAAAGACCTGCCTTTACAATTATCTAGATCAATTCACAATAAAATGTGTACCTACATGAAACATTCCTAATAACGCAAGTTTTTTTTTTTCAAAATTCTGCTACACTGTGACAAAGAATAGCAACAAAGATTTTAAGGATAGTTTGACTGGTGCTAGATGGACTACAAAATAATGTGTATGAAACAGTGAATTTTCGAGTTTTCAAAACAAATAAAACAGAAGATGAAGAAAAATTAATTCAAGATTCTTAATACCATGAGCAACGATTGGAGACAGTGTTAGGTTAACACAATTGATATTGATGAAGAAAGCAATGATTGGTTACAAGTCAGGCTAAAGTCCAGGAGGATCACTTTTTACACTTTCTTACCAACATAATTGTGTCATAATACATGGTTCTGTCTGGATCTAATAAACTACAATGTATTACTGTGTTCCTGATCAATACCTTCAAATGCCACAACTATACTGGGTGTTGTACTCTTTCTTCAACATCAGTCATTTGTTGGCTTCAGTAAGCGATGCTCATTATATTACCATGACATGTGTTCAACAAAATACCGAATGTATTAGTATGCGATATACAGTCAAAATCTGTATATGAAGACTTTCAAAGAAACGAAAACGCATTTGTTCTAATTAGATCTAATAACTACATCAGGGTTGTGTTGAATTTGGCAGACATTACAATAGGTAAAGACATCCATGCTATAAGTAGACAGATAGTAATTATTCACAGGACTGGCTTGGCTACTGGTCAAAAAAAGTCTTTTGTATAATTTGCTATGGCAAAATAAATGCTAAAATAAGTCACTTACCTACAGCAAATTTTACTTATATATGTGAATGTGTAAAACTCAGAATGACAAAGTTAAGAGTCATTATGATATTGTTACAAATCAGGCTTACATTTACCAAAGAAGAAACCCTCATTAAAGCTGTTGGAATTTCATTTCCTTCTTGCCTTTAAAAATTATACTATTATAGTTCATAGTTATGGATATGTGGGTCCAGGTTTTTTTCTGACAGGCAGTTCCCACTGCGAAAAATGCTAATTAATACCATTTTTTAGGGGGGAGGTGTGTGTAACAATTGTAATAAAAATTTAGTCACATGTCTAGATTGTGGAATCAATCTCATTAGGCCTAAATTTTGTTGAAAATGGTTGATCCACAGTGTCTCTGCACCAGCAGCCTACTGTCTAATACGTTGTCAGAATCTTGACACAAAAAGCTCTATAGTACTTTTGTGTGCCAGGATTAAGTTTACCCCTTCTAAGAAATCAATATGCATACCCTTGCTGATGCTTACATGAATGCTACCTAACCAATCAAATGCATGTGTAAAACAAAGTCACGTTACATTTGAATATCATTACATTCCTTTTCAACAATTCTGTCAATTTTGATTTAATATTCCTTTTGAGAATCTTTCAATATAAATCCAAGCATTATAAACACAGTAAATGACACCATATTGTAGAGTCATTCATCACTCACACTCCATTAATATAAAGATGATGAGTACCAGTTCATCAAACCAACACAAACATTATTTTATTAAAAGTTACCCTTCGTAATTCCTACAAATTAAAGGAATACAAATATTGAAGTATTTAATAATTGAAATAAAAAAATAAAACCTCAGAAATGACAAATGTGGATTGCAACAACATATTAAAAAGGTCAGCAATTAATTGTTAATTTGGGTAAACAATTAGGCAATGCTGTTTTTAACCATATACTGGATAGTCATGAATGACAATGAAATATCACCCTTTTTGGGTATAAAAATTTCATCCTTGGTTAGTGGATAAAAACCTGACTTAGTCAATAAATACTAGGATTGTGAGACCAACTTTATACTTACACATATCAACATCACTTTTGGATTTATTATAACATATCGCCGATGCTCTGTTCATGGTGCCACATTTTGTTGTGGTTGGGGCATGTGTGCAGTTGATAAGCTTTTTCTCATTACGACATTTAAATCGGGTTAATGCCTTATTTGCTAAAGAGTCTGTGGACATCTTGCCGAGCTTGGAACCTCTGAGGTACATGGCATCTTTGTATCCAAGTTGTCTACATACAACTTTGGCATCATTATAATCCCATTCATCATCACACACCTGAACCCAGCCATCATCCAGACGAACTTCAACAGTGCCGACATCAGTTCGGCCCCGTGACTGTAACCTTACTGTAATAGATCATATTAAATACATATTAACAAAAACAAGAGTATTTACAAAATATCGTATGAAATAACAGACATTTTCCAGTAACATGTCAAAACTATTGTATTTCATTTGATTCACTTGATTTTTTTCTCTATGTCCATTTTTTACAATTTTTCTAAATATGACAGGATTATGAAGATTTTAAAAAATCTGGTCATGCTACTCTGCTAAATTTATTTTATCAAACTGATTAAATGTATCCTAATGATAGTCTGTACATGAAAAAGTCAATAAGAAATTGACAACCATAATATTTATCATAAAATGTCTCTGATGGTTTTTTTTCTTTTCTTCTTCTTTTAATGAAACACCACTTACATAATACTTCTTTTCTGTAAACTTTAATGAATTTAAAATAGATTGTAATTTATGTGAATAATCATTTCTCTTGTCACCTATCTTCCCTGGATTTTCATTCATTAAGATGTACCTCAATAATTTTAAATAGCAATGACATTTTGTTTAGTACAGTTCAAAGAGTACTAGTGTATAAACACAATGACATCATAAACTCTAGTTTCTCTAATTTACTTCAGGACATTGCACAAAAAAATACGCAGAGTACCTCATGTAAGTCTATTGATGCAGCAAAATTGGACGAAATTTTTATGTTCCGACCACTTTAAGCTGTGCCTCATCTTGTATCCTGTTGTGTTATGTTCCTAATCAAGGTCTTCACTCAAGATCTAGCACCTCCATTTCTAAAAGGATTTCTATCAAATTTAGGGCAAATGCTTTGAAAACCCATCTGATGAGTTTCTGTTGCAGGGTTCAAAGGTCAAGGTCACTGTTACTTTATCAAACATTGATAATTTATTGCTTGGAAGCAAGGGTATTCATGCCTTATAGACAATTCTAAGTTTACTTGCTTCTTGTTTTCTATTTCACCAGATGTGTAGATAAGAGGATATCTACAAAGTGTTGGACCAGCTTTTGTCTCTATGGCTCTACAAGACCTATTATACACTCTTCATTGGCATATCATCAATCCTATTCCATCTAAAGTAAACAAGCAATAGAGGATATCATTGTATGCCTGGAAGAATATAAACAAATCTCAGCATTACATGTCAGTACAAAAGGTCACAGAATTTGAAAGTCTCCTGCTTTTCTTCCTTGTTCTATTTGACAGGTGTACTTTTGTGCAGACATGCGGTAGTATTTCTCTAACAACAAACAAATATCAAAGGGACTGATCCTTGTGTTGAGCATGTTCCAACACGCGTTAGTGTGTCAATAACTGTCAGACAACGGCCCATCAGACAGACCACATGTCAGAATATTGTATCTGATGTTCATATATAATATGCCTTACATTTCCATGTGATTGTTGTGTAACGGTAAGTCAGCCAGGTTTGATTACTAGCTTAAACTGTCAGCTTATTGATTTCAAATCAAAGAAGAAAAGGAATGAATGTGTGAAATTTGTGCTAGAGGGGTTAAATGCTTGTCAAAACCATCTAAATTAGCTGGTGTTTTTCCATCAATAGTAATTGTACCTTTGACCTTTGAACTCTTGATACCTGATTCCAATACCTTATCCTGTGTATGCTACTGATCAGGATCACTCAAGAATTGAAGTCCCTAGTCAAGAGTGATGACAATCTTTGGGTGAACAATACTCTCAACCATTCCCTATAAATCTAATGGCATGACCTTGCATTTAACTTCCTTCATTTTGTGCTTCATATGTTTTTGACTCGTTTTAAGATACTGTTGTACATATATGGCCACATTGACTCACCAGATAGATACTGTTCTACATATGTGGCCACATTGACTCACTACATAGATACTGTTCTACATATGTGGCCACCTTGACTCCCTAAATAGATACTGTTCTACATATGTGGCCACCTTGACTCCCTAAATAGATACTGTTCTACATATGTGGCCACATTGACTCCCCAATTAGATACTGTTCTACATATGTGGCCACCTTGACTCACTAGATAGATACTGTTCTACATATGTGGCCACATTGACTCCCCAATTAGATACTGTTCTACATATGTGGCCACCTTGACTCACTAATTAGATACTGTTCTACATATGTGGCCACCTTGACTCACTAGATAGATACTGTTCTACATATGTGGCCACATTGACTCACTAGATAGATACTGTTCTACATATGTGGCCACATTGACTCACTAATTAGATACAATTAGATACTGTTCTACATATGTGGCCACCCTGACTCACTAGATAGATACTGTTCTACATATGTGGCCACATTGACTCACTAATTAGATACTGTTCTACATATGTGGCCACATTGACTCACTAGATAGATACTGTTCTACATATGTGGCCACATTGACTCACTAGATAGATACTGTTCTACATATGTGGCCACATTGACTCACTAATCAGATACTGTTCTACATATGTGGCCACATTGACTCACTAGATAAATACTTTACTTCATGTGTGTAGCTGCCTTGACTCAAATGGTAGACATTATGTTACACCTGCAAGGCTAACTTGATTTATATGATACTGCGGTACACATCAGAAGCCACCTTGACTCAAATGATAATTAATTGTACATACTATGCATGTAAGGCTCCTGATATGCATACTAAATCTTTACTGTCATAAAAAGGAGATGTCTGACTCACTTTGTCTTCCTTTTAATTACTTTTATCTTTAGCCTGGCTGAAAGTCCATTATGTGTACAATTATTTGTAAGTTAAATGTTTTGCATGAGAAAATATATAATATATGTTGTCCCCACCTACAAACAGAAAGACATAACACACACACATACACATCTATATACATATATATATTGTGTTTCATGAGAATTTTTTATGACAAGTTTTCCTAAAACAATTTCCATGTACTAAATATTTTGCACCATAAAAGAGAAAATTAAGGTCACAAGCCAATTCTTATTTAGCTACTACTGGATTTGTTAAAAAAAAAAACCAATATGTTCACGTCAGCTTTAATTGTTAGCCTTCGACTCTCACCTGACTTGTCATAACAGGAGACACCAGCGTCTTCATAGTGCCGACAATTGTTAATGCCCCAGCCGTTGTGCTGACAGTCAGCAAGGGTTCTCTCTGACCCTGTACACTGCACATTGTCAAGATAGATGGCACCTGTGCCCTCTCCGAACGGGGAATTGGAATGTGACTACAATTACAATCATGTAAAATCCTGTTTTTATTGAACACACATTGTAAGATAGCAAAGAAAGAAAGATAGGTCAGAGTGAACAATTCATCAAAATCACTTTTCAGGAAAAAGCAGCCAATTTAGATAGTGGAAACCTTTTGCAATGCCATCAGAATCTTTGTTACATGAAGAAATACTTTTCTCAAAGGTATGGGGACACATCTGCTTTGTACAAACTGACTAATTGAACATGTTTACTATAAATAAAATAAACCAATTATTTCGAACACTAGAAAGAAATGTAATGCATACCATTGTATCTATGCACACAGCATCTATTTAAGAAAGGGTACAAAAAGTACCAAATTACCAGGTACAACAAACAATTATGATAGAATTGTAAAATTTGATGTCCTGTTAAGAAAAAATATCTGCTTGTTGTATTGTTCTGGGAACAATGACAGACTCGGAGGAAATATTCAAGGATATTTTAAATCAATGACATCTATCTAGCAATAAGACCGTCCTAAGTAACAATCCCATCTACTTTTAATGCAGTTTCAGCAAAAATGCCAACAAATACTCTGTTTCATTTATCCTGTAAGTAAATAGCCATAGGCCTACCTTGATACTTTTGTTCACAAGGACTTTTATTACTGGAGAAATATATATACAATTCATATAGCTGTTTGAATGTTATTTGTTTATTCTTATTTATTCTCTCGTTCTTTTTGCACGAGAGTGCCATATATAAAAGTTGGACCCAAAAGGACCTTCAATTTGAAATACCGTATATGACCTAATAAGGGCACAGGGTATGGGTAATTGTAGGTGAAGGTGCCCTTAATAAGACTTAAAATTCGGAAGTTTTATAACACGGTATATAGGTGATATGTATGCACCAGACAGTTTCCAGTTCAACTGAGAGTAAGAAGAAATTTGAAACTGACCATAGTGGAATGCCCGCGAAACCATTTGGTGTTGTTTATAGACTAAGTCTAGACAGAATATTGGCACGTGAAAGTGATTTTCAATGTCCAGCGCTATTGGCGTGGACAGTGATATGGACTAGCCCTGGACATTGAAAATCAGGCCTGCATTCAATGTCCACAGTTCAGTCATAAAAATCCTCAGTATAGGCTTATTTATATATTCTGGATAAAAAGGAAGGTGTAGTATTTTATATCAGTTCAGAAAGCAACTTGACACTCGACAAAGAAATTTTCCTGAAAAAGGGCAAGGGTGCCCTTATTGAGGCAAGCTCCCTAAAAAGGTCAGAGATCTGAACCTGAAATCCAAACTTTTGGTGCAAGTGAGTCTCATTAACAAAAAATATAGTAGGTTCTTAAAATCTGGGCAAGACCCACAGGAAAAGCATAAGTCAAACATTCAAATATCTGGTTCCCAAATATCACTGAACATTCGAAACTTGTACCCAAAGCTTTGCCCTTGTAATTGAGATATGGTCGGTGCTAGTTGAGATATATTAACCCCGATGGTTGAAGCAAACAAACTACAACTAAATACGTTTTAGGTTGACAACAATTTATTGTACAAACATCAATCTGGTTTTAGAGGGCAATATTCTACAGATACGGCCCTGATAGATCTATTTGATTACTTAAAGTGTCAATCGTCAAAAGGCTTATATACTGGCATGATACTTTTGGATTTACAAAAGGCCTTTGACACTGTGGACCACCAGATACTATGTGAGAAACTAAAGTCCATGGGGGTCGAGTGTACATCGTGGTTTTCTTCATATCTATCATCTAGAGATCAAGTTGTCTCAATAAAAAATGCAATGTCTTCATCTCAAAAAGTAACATGTGGGGTACCCCAGGGGAGCATTCTTGGCCCCCTTCTGTTTCTTTGTTATGTAAATGACATGGAGCTTTCAATTAGTAAAGATTCTAAATTACTTTTATACGCAGATGATAGCACGATTCTATTTTCAAGCAAAAATCCTAATGAAATCAAGGCAAAACTATCGGAGAAGTTATCTAATTGTCACACTTGGCCAGTAAATAATAAATTGTCTTTGCACCTTGGAAAAACAGAAGTCATTCTTTTTGTTACAAAGAAAAACCTAGCAAAATAGACTCTTTTGAAGTAACTATTAATGACCAACCTATTCAAACATCAGATCGAGTGCGCTATCTCGGTATCGATATAGATAAGTGCTTAACAGGTGAACATATTGTTGATAACATAATAAAGAAAGTTAATTCTAGACTCCACTTCCTTTATAGGCAATGTAAAGATCTCCCATTGGGTATTAGGAAAACACTTTGTAATTCTCTTGTTCTGTGTCACTTTGATTATTGTTGTACAGCCTGGTACCACGGTCTGAGCCAAAAAATGAAACAACTGCTACAAGTTGCACAAAATAGATGTGTGCGTTTTATTTGTAACCTTAGTCCTAGAGATAGTATAAATAAAAATGTGTTATCACAGTTAAATATCTTAAACGTGGAAAATAGAGCAAAACAATTATGTCTCAATCATATGTACAATATATTCCATGGAACATGTCCTAGTTACTTTTTGTCCAGATTTACAAAATTTTGTGACCAACACTATTATAGTACAAGGAATTCTAGTCTGAATTTTTGTTGTGCCTTCTTGTAAAGGTCAAATTTCAAAAATGTTTTATTTTAATGGAGTAAAGGCCTGGAACTCTCTTCCCGTGGAAATATGTTTGTCTAGCGGGAAACAAAGTTTTAAAAAAGCTGTTCGGGATTTTTTACAAAATACCTCATAATTGGATACATTTTCTGTGATACAATGATATTCCTGCCAAACTTTTAGTTTAAATAGTTTTAGGTTCTTTACAAAATATATATTTTATATCAATAATATTTGTGCATTTTGTATTATGTAAGGTCACTGTATTTTATGTTGTATTGTAATGTTTTTTATGTAAAGGGACCACAGCGGAAATAAGTCTTCGGACTTTACTGTGTTATCCTGGTTCAACAAAATTGTTACTTTACATGTTTGTATGTATTTTAATATTGTGTTTTACCAAATAAAAACATCTAAAATCTAAAAATCTAAAGATGAAATGTGTGTATTGTTTTCATAAGGATCACCTCTACATCTAAGGAATGTGAAGGTGTGTCATTTAATACAAGACACCAGTGAATCTCACCATCATTCCTCATATTAATGACACTTGTTAATGATAGATTAATGACATTTTAATTATATGTACATTTGAAAATGTGGGCAATAATTTTTCATATGTTGTTGATCACTATCATATGGCATGAGACAAGAAATTTGATATTCATGATATTTGATTAGAGTGACAAATTTATCAGAAGTAATGTAATAATAAAATGTCAGACCTGAGTCATTTATGAATGAGTTAGGAAACATTGTAGTCTTCAAGTCTCATAATACTTAGATATTTCTAATGCTTCTAATGGATCACATCTCTTTTCCACCAGTAAAGCTGAATCAATAAAAAAATAACAATCTATTTTACAGTTAGCTGGCACATAATATGTAGGATGTCAGCATATAATCTCTGGGGTGTAAGCACATCTCTGGGGTGTCAGCACATAATCCCTGGGGTGTAAGCACATAATCTCTGGGGTGTCAGCACATAATCCCTGGTGTGTAAGCACATAATCTCTGGGGTGTCAGCACATAATATGTAGGATGTCAGCATATAATCTCTGGGGTGTAAGCACATCTCTGGGGTGTCAGCACATAATCCCTGGGGTGTCAGCACATAATCTCTGGGGTGTCAGCACATAATCTCTGGTGTGTCAGCACACAACCCCTGGGGCATCAGCACACACTCTCTTGGGTGTCAGCACATAATCTTTGAGGTGTAAGCACATAATCTCTGGTGTGTCAGCACTTAATCTCTGGTGTGTCAGCACATAATCTCTGGGGTGTCAGCACATAATCCCTGGTGTGTCAGCACATAATCTCTGGGGTGTCAGCACATAATCTCTGGGGTGTCAGCACATAATCTCTGGGGTGTCAGCACATAATCCCTGGGGCATCAGCACACACTCTCTTGGGTGTCAGCACATAATCTCTGGTGTGTCAGCACATAATCTCTGGGGTGTCAGCACATAATCTCTGGGGTGTCAGCACATAATCTCTGGGGTGTCAGCACATAATCTCTGGGGTGTCAGCACATAATCTCTGGTGTGTCAGCACATAATCTCTGGGGTGTCAGCACATAATCTCTGGGGTGTCAGCACATAATCTCTGGGGTGTCAGCACATAATCTCTGGGGTGTCAGCACATAATCTCTGGGGTGTCAGCACATAATCTCTGGTGTGTAAGCACATAATCCCTGGTGTGTAAGCACATAATGTCTGGGGTGTCAGCAGATAATCTCTCAGGTGTAAGCACATAATCTCTTGGGTGTCAGCACATAACCCCTGGGGCATCAGCACACACTCTCTTGGGTGTCAGAACGTAATAACTGGGGTGTCAGCACATAACCTCTTGGGTGTCAGCACATAATCTCTGGGGTGTCAGCACATGATACCTGGGCATCAGCATAAAATCCCTTGGGTGTCAGCACATACTCTCTGAATCGTAAGCACATAATCTCTGGTGTGTCAGCACATAATCTTTGAGGTGTAAGCACATAATCTCTGGTGTGTCAGCACATAATCCCTGGTGTGTCAGCACATAATCCCTGGGGTGTCAGCACATAATCTCTGAATCGTAAGCACATAATCTCTGGGGTGTCAGCACATAATCTTTGAGGTGTAAGCACATAATCTCTGGGGTGTCAGCACATAATCTCTGGTGTGTCAGCACATAATCTCTGGGGCATCAGCACACACTCTCTTGGGTGTCAGCACATAATCTCTGGGGTGTCAGCACATAATCTCTGGGGTGTCAGCACATAATCTCTGGGGTGTCAGCACATAATCTCTGGGGTGTCAGCACATAATCTCTGGGGTGTCAGCACATAATCTCTGGGGTGTCAGCACATAATCTCTGGGGTGTCAGCACATAATCCCTGGTGTGTCAGCACATAATCTCTGGGGTGTCAGCACATAATCCCTGGTGTGTCAGCACATAATCTCTGGGGTGTCAGCACATAATCTCTGGGGTGTAAGCACATAATCTCTGGGGTGTCAGCACATAATCTCTGGGGTGTCAGCACATAACCCCTGGGGCATCAGCACACACTCTCTTGGGTGTCAGAACGTAATAACTGGGGTGTCAGCACATAATCTCTGGGGTGTCAGCACATAATCTCTGGGGTGTCAGCACATAATCTCTGGGGTGTCAGCACATAATCTCTGGGGTGTCAGCACATAATCTCTGGGGTGTCAGCACATAATCTCTGAGGTGTAAGCACATAATCTCTGGGGTGTCAGCACATAATCTCTGGGGTGTCAGCACATAATCTCTGGGGTGTCAGCACATAATCCCTGGGGTGTAAGCACATAATCTCTGGTGTGTCAGCACATAATCTCTGGGGTGTCAGCACATAATCTCTGGGGTGTAAGCACATAATCTCTGGTGTGTCAGCACATAATCTCTGGTGTGTCAGCACATAATCTCTGGGGTGTAAGCACATAATCTCTGGGGTGTCAGCACATAATCTCTGGTGTGTCAGCACATAATCTCTGGGGTGTCAGCATATAATCTCTGGTGTGTCAGCACATAATCTTTGAGGTGTAAGCACATAATCTCTGGTGTGTCAGCACATAATCTCTGGGGTGTCAGCATATAATCTCTGGTGTGTCAGCACATAATCTCTGGGGTGTAAGCACATAATCTTTGAGGTGTAAGCACATAATCTCTGGTGTGTCAGCACATAATCTTTGAGGTGTAAGCACATAATCTCTGGTGTGTCAGCACATAATCTCTGGGGTGTCAGCACATAATCTCTGGTGTGTCAGCACATAATCTTTGAGGTGTAAGCACATAATCTCTGGGGTGTCAGCACATAATCTCTGGTGTGTCAGCACATAATCTCTGGTGTGTCAGCACATAATCCCTGGGGTGTCAGCACATAATCCCTGGTGTGTAAGCACATAATCTCTGGTGTGTCAGCACATAATCTCTGGTGTGTCAGCACATAATCTCTGGGGTGTCAGCACATAGTCCCTGGGGTGTCAGCACATAACCTCTGGGGTGTCAGCACATAATCCCTTTGGTGTCAGCATATAATTCCTTGGGTGTCAGCACAAAACAGTAATCCTTTGGGTATCAGCAAACACACTCTCTAGGGTGTCAGCATATAACCCATTGGATATCAGCACATTATCTCTGGGGTGTCAACACATAATATCTGAGGTGTCAACACATAATATCTGGGGTGCCAGCATATAATCCCTTTGGTGCCAGCACAAATCAGCAATCCTTTGGGAATCAGCACATAATCTCTAGGGTGTTAGCACATAATCTCTTGGTGTCAGCACATATTCTTATTTATTTTACAGGATAATCCCATGGTTGTTAGGTATAACATAACTCTATCTCACATAAAAATGGAAAGATAGTTAGAACACACTTTGATGCTACGAACAAATTAATGTAACTTAACCATGCTGCATAATGATACCATTATCAATTTTGATGATGGCACAATTAATAGATTTCACAACCCTTACACTTTGTTACTGTTTTTTCAAAATATGAATGAAAAATAATCAAATAATTTAGTCTGTTCCATGGACAGGTTTATCTCCACTCTAATGAGTGGCTGGTCAGAACTCAGTGACCATTGTACAGACCAATCAAACTCTTATACCGAAACTGCAATAAAATAGGAAAATAGAATGGGCTTATTACCAGGAAGGGGTTTATTGTAGAGTAAATATGGTATTGATCATCAAACTGTAAACAATGTGAACCTGATGAAAACCTCACTTTTGTTATATTCAACTCTGAAAGACAAGCAAATTTTCCAAAAGCAAACGCTTACTGCCAAGCAGTTATAATTGAAATGGAAAGAATAGCAGACAAACAGGTTGAACAGAGGCACCATAGTTGTGTCTTGAACAAAAAAAGTGAACTGAAAAGTGAGATAAAATTCTTGACAGTCATGGAGTCTGGAGGAAGCAAATGAATTCTGGAGTCAAGCATTGCAGCAAAAAACAACAGAGAAAATGGATTTTGGCTTGAAATTGATTGAAAAACTTTACATACGATGAAAAACTCATCCTAAATTGAATTTGTAATTGATTTATACTCACAAATGTCAAACTATCGCAAGAATCATTTTCAACATAATATGAAAAATGGAAAATCCTGTCTGTGAGGACATGAAATCAATTTGTATAAGCCTTGGTATTTCAAAGCCAATTGTATATGATTGGAACAAATATTGCCCGTTTCCTTCACAAGGAAATGAAATATTGGAATGGTAAGTTACTTATCATATGGTAAAAAGAAAAAAAAATTTCCTACATATGCTGGTGAGAACTGTAAAGAAGATCCATATTTTCACACCATAGATGCATACAAAGGGAACATGAAATTTTTTTAAATACGAGAAAATATTTAAAAATTGATTTGCTTGGTTTATAACAGCCAGGGTCATTTCCTTGTAGTAGGTGGTGGCTACCTCACTAATCAACATACAAGAAGTCTGTCACATGCCATCTAAAGCAACAGAGGTAAGGTATCTTGCCCACGACACAACCACAACAGCACGGATCAGTTTACTACTCAGCACATATCTCACTACACAACATGGATCTTCACTTGAGATAATGGCTACAAGCTAACGTTATAACTGACAGAGCTATCATAGCTTCAAATATTGTTGGATATTTTTTTCCCTTTTTTTTAAAATCAGTAATTTTTCTAGTTCAGAATTTTAAGAGATGAGGTTTCCAGAGCAAAATTAATCTAAAAACTATGTTCTACTTTCAAATATTCAAACCATACATATTACAAGAATTGCATTTTTTCTATGATGTTAATTTTATCAAACTATGTGTGGCTAAGACATGATGGGATTGACATATTTCCAAAATCATTTATTTTTTCATTTTTATTATGAGCCAAGTGTTTGACATTATGCATTTTTAGGAACAACACACAAATACAGATCAAGTACTTTGATCTACCATTCCACAAAGGTATCCAAGTTTTGGAGATACCAGTACTTCAGATAAAATGAAGCTAGAAGCTCATTCTTACAGCACCTATTCAGTAGCCTTTAAAAACAAATGCTATTTCATTGCCCCGCAATAAGTCATTCAGACTCCCATAACTTTGAGTCAGAATTTGTGTTGGTCAGAATTTGTGTTGGTCTGTTGACTTTGAGTAAGAATTTGTATTGGTCTGTTGACTTTGAGTCAGAATTTGTATTGGTCTGTTGACTTTGAGTCAGATTTTGTGTTGGTCTCTTGACTTTGAGTCAGAATTTGTATTGGTCTCTTGACTTTAAGTCAGAATTTGTGTTGGTCTGTTGACTTTGAGTCAGAATTTGTATTGGTCTCTTGACTTTAAGTCAGAATTTTTTGTTGGTCTCTTGACTTTGAGTCAGAATTTGTGTTGGACTTCTGACTTTGAGTCAGAATTTGTGTTGGACTTCTGACTTTGAGTCAGAATTTGTGTTGGACTTCTGACTTTGAGTCAGTATTTGGATGTTTGTTCCTTGGACTTATTGCAAGATAGAAAGGATATACTTACCGTTCCCCACTGAAATCCAAGCTGACGACACACAACCTGTGCATCCTGGTCTGACCACAAGTCATCACATACAGTACCCCAATCAGTTTTATTGCGAGATACTTCAACACGGCCAGTTGTTATTCCATCCCCGCCCTGCAGTCTCACAAAGATCTCTGAAAACAAGTACAATGGTGTCAAAATATGCACATTAGATTATTTTAAAAGAAAATAAATTTTAAAAATATGATATCTATCATGAAGTGTTCGTTTACACTGAACGATCATCTGAATTGGGATGAAATTTTAATGAGGAAATCTTAAAATATTGAAAAACAAACTATGTCAGTGTGTGCACCTTTTAAGAAAAGGCAGGGGTGAAGATTTTATTCTATTATTTTCAAATATGACAATTTTAGACAAGATATTTTTCATGATCAACTTGTTCAAACGGTTTTTATTTCATTGTATACAGAGGAGTAACTCACTACTAACAACAATATTAAATGGCAGAAATGAGTCATATAATAATTTGAAATATCAGATTTGCAAGTTTGAGTAACTTTTAGGAAAGCTTTGCCAGGAGGCATGATTTATTATATATGGTCTTTATTTATTCTATTGATGGATGACAATAATTAAACCACTGGCATCTGATCGCTAAATGTTAAAACATGTTTTAAGAAAAAGTACAAAAAATTGTTTTATGACCATATTACCTATGAAAACATTTTGTTAGCATTCTGAAAAAGTTATGTGTCCCAGCAAAATAAATCAAAGTGGGCATGAGGCAGTGGGTTAATAGTTAAACTGATTCAGCTAAACAAAATGACCAGGACAGGTATTAATTACGTTATCTAAGTCACAAATAGATTCTACATCTGCCAATGGAGCAAAAGCAAGTGTTCAGTCTAAAAGATAATGTATAAATTAACATAAACAAGGCGAAAATACTCTGCAACACAATAAATGACAACTGAATGAATTCATATTCATACAGTGTAGAAGTTGAGAGTACAGGTCGCCTTACTAGCCCCAGTTAGTAGAAATTTCCCTTCAGTCGCTATTTCGAACCCCATCGGTGGCGGGTTAATTACTCCTTTCTATTACACATTAACATGTTTGGCCTACTTTTCTATGAACATATCCAGGTAAGGGTTTCCATCATGGTGGTCAATTCAATCAGTACGACTTCAGAGTATTGCACATGTTTAGTAATTATCACACAAATATGTAACAGTGTTAGTATATAATTCGACATCTTTCCTTGTCTACAAGGACAAAATTCATTCTCGTATGCTGCCGCTTCCACGTCTTTTCCGAACCGGAACCTGAAATCTATTGCGTAAATTAGGTCCCGGTTATGATTTTTTTCCGGAATATTGGCAGATTTATCTGAAAATTTCAGTTTCCATTGCCGATTCATTTTAAGTGACATGATATACTTATAACAAATTAATTCTAGTTGATTTTCATTCGTTTCAATTGACGTGTATATATAATAACACACACACATACATATATCAAGCCGTTCTCTATACAGTACATCATGTAGGGTGCTTAAGGTTAACTAGATATGATGACAAGCCAAAGAGTAGATAGAAAATGTCTTTCTCTAAAATGATAATCTCATGTCAATATTCACATTTTGTATGTTGTTTCATACAATGTAAACATCAATAACAGATTAATAAGTGTGAGTACCGACATTTTCAGAGACAGATATTTTCGGTCTGGCCAAACAGGGATACTATCTGTAAGTTATCCGATTTACGGAATTTAAAGTTAACCGTCTTTACAACTGTAGTAGGTTGATTGATATTCAGTACTTAAAAAAAATCTTTTGTCTGACTTTTTCTATCTATGGAGATTTATGCATTGTCGCATTCCTTGTTATTATTCTCACTAATCTGTACTGTTTAATATTCATAAATCATTTGTAAACATTAATAAATTTTCTATCACTTTATAAGGAGAAAACATGTGCATTTTGTATTGTTTAATATCATAAATCAATTGTTATTATTCTCACTAACTTTATAAGGAGAAAACTGTACATTTTGTTTAATATTCATAAATCATTTGTAAACATTAATAAATAACAGGTCCCCTTCTCTACGTACACTTTATAAGGAGAAAACATGTGCATTTTGTATTGTTTAATATTCATAAATCAATTGTAAACATTAATAAATAACAGGTCCCCTTCTCTACGTACACTTTATAAGGAGAAAACATGTGCATTTTGTATTGTTTAATATTCATAAATCAATTGTAAACATTAATAAATAACAGGTCCCCTTCTCTGCGTACACTTTATAAGGAGAAAACATGTGCATGGATTTATCAAGATTACATGGTGTTTTATATCAAGGACCTATGATGCCCACATACATATATTACCAGCCCGCCTCAATTACAGACACCATTGATTAAAAGTACTGGAAAGTTTTTGTATATCGCAGATATGTGTATTGAATTATATCTAGACTCAACGAAAATAATTAGTTGTACACACTGTACGTTTTCATAACGTGATATGATAAGGTGGGAAGCCGAGCGAATTTGTGAATGGGATGTCTGGTCGAGACTGATAATTATCTACCTACATACCTACAGTGTATATGAAATATATATATCCTGATTTGGACCTATGTGCTAAATAAAGTGTTAATGAGCATCGTTACTGACTCCTCTGTAAATTTTATAAACGTTGTGGCACATAGTAACTGGGATATCATCTTGACTCATATGATACCACATCATCATCTATGTGCACAAAGAAAAGACCACTTTTGATCTTTGTGATATGGTCATGTGACATTTTTTCTTACGTCATCACTGACTATGAACTTATTTGAAAATCCTACATAAAGTTAGGTAACATTTAAAAAAAAAACTACATTATGTAACCACAAACCATGCTTATGTGATTGGAAGGAGCAATGAAACACCCTGTCACCACTGGAGTTCGAACTAGCGACCATTCGTTCTCTAGCCGGACACTATCGCTCGACTAAAGGGAAATTCCCTCTAGCCGAGGCTAGTAAAGCAACATGTACTCTCAACTCCTAGACTACTCACTCTACCAACAACTCATGTTCGATATCTTCAAGAAAGCATCTCAATCTCCTATAGATTCTCCCCCTTGGAGTGGTCAATGGAACCAAAATTAAGAAGCAGGAGTAATGAAAACACCCGCTCCCGCTGGGGTTTGGACTAACGACCTTTCGGTCCCAGCCGGACATTCTAGTGCTCGTTCGACTACAGGGAAATCCACGTGTACTCACAAAGTCATTAATCCCGAAGACAACAACGACCCAGATTCAGTATCTCCAAGGCAGCATCTTCTTTTCCTTTAGCTCTATGAGCTGAGTCGTCTCATTCTCTCTTGTTTACTATTTAGGTGAGTGTTTCACTGGTGTGTGGATCATAGTCCCTATGTCTTGTCTATGTTGCCTGTGTTCAGGGAAAAGCCAGGAGCTCACCCTTTCAACGTATATGTTGTGTGTCCCAGTGGTGGCCTTAGGTAACGGGCCTCGTCATGTATTAATGTATTTTGTTGATTATAACTAAGCAGCCACGTGGAAGTCTAGACTAGAAGCTTGATAGCTTTCTACATGAGATCATTCCTCCTACACTCAGAGTTGTCGTTCTGGGCAATTACCATGTCATGGTTTACAAACCCATATTGATAATCTGACCCAAGAAATGCAAACTTAGGGAGGTTCGTGTTTCCAAAAAAGTTAAAATCACGGGATTGCCAGCTGTGATTTCGTGTTCTGGCCTTCCGCATTGTGGTTAGCGAGGTAGTTAAGCTACTGCCAAGAGACTCGCTTCAAAATGGCAACAGAAAGGAAAAAAAGTAGGATTGAATATATATGGCCGTTTCCAAATTGGGCCATATACGAGGCATGCATGTTACCTTAGCATTGGCTAAACTCGGCAGCAGAGACGAATTTATTTTAATGTAATTTTCTCATTTCGGTACGTAACAGCGCTATCATGGTTAATGCAATGAGGAGATATACATTGGAATGTTTGTTTCGATTAGATAGATATATGCGTGCTTTCGGAATAACGCTTTGTCAGAAGACATTCAACCCACATTAATCAATTTTCACAAAGCTCATTGCCAATTGTTTGTTAATCTGCCAACGGTGCAAGTACATGTAAGCACTGAAAGAAACTAAACATTGTCGTTTTGAAATTATAGAAAGAGCTTGTCTGTTATAAATATGTTTAGTTATGGACCGAAATGTTATTTAAATAACAGCTACCAGTCAAACAGAGAAGAAATAAATGCAGACTGTCAAAGATATCAGGGACCCATCATTTTACATTTTTAACTTTAAATTAAAACACAGCTCTCATTCAATCGTTGAATCTCTTTTAGTTATTCCACACGAGTTTTCCCATTTTACTGTTTATATATGAGATATGGATCTTTTTCGGAACATTTTCTGCGGGTCGGTAATGTCAATAGCATAAATGTTCTCATAACACATCGGTAGAACTGCCTCACTATGCCATTTGTCTGATTAAGGAGACCGTGTAGTCATCGAAACGTTACACGCAAATCTTTTACAGCTTGTGTTATAAAAAACTTTTATTCTTGAAATAAGGATCTCGTAAAGCAGGATATATCATAAATAATATATATTTTATTACACTACATGTACTTTCATATGATGCGAACGAAATAATAGTGTAAACTTTATATTAAATTAATTTTATCACAAAGATCTGTATATATGTAGTTGAAATAAGAACATTGTGCCATATTGACGATCCGTCAATCGATACTAATTATGGCATATTCTTTCGGTATGAGGATTTCTGGGACAAAGAATGGTTATGTGAGCTCCGTAAATCCTCACGTTGATTGAAACAAAGTGCTATAAGTGTTTTAGTACATTTCGGTATCCAACCATAGCACCGAATGCTCGAAATATGAACCCGTGATATTTGAATCTTATCCCATAATATTCGACGCATCTTTGATAGACAACGCATTGCACTCTTGTGCAATATGTAGGATACTTGCCCGACATCTGAAATTCCGCGACGTCACAGAACATTTATCTATAAATTGAATATCATGCGAACGGATGTAGACAAATCCGTAGCTAGAAACTTTATAAGTCGTAAATGAATGAGATTTGTACGTTATATC